ATTATTGGTGTATGCTATTGCTATCTGCTGGAGCTTCTTCATTATGCATCTCGCATTGGACCTTTGGACTGGAACACCAGTTAAACCATGGTCAAGAAACTGACCTGTCATAAACCAAGCTGTGAGTAACCCCAGAAAAAAAAAAGTAATTAAATCTACTTGCGCTAGAAGTAGGAAGTAGAACTAGAAGTAGGAAGTGGTTGTACACTTGAAAAGTTTAAGTTAGGGCAGCCAAAATGTATTACAAACCATGACTCCAGTTTATCTACATGGAAAATAGATAATAGACAGTAACAATGCAATCTTTTGTACAGAGTGCCAAAACTTTGGATACATCCCATGACAGCGAGATCTCTGAGAAATAACCGTCACAGTTTCTTCTGATCTGTATCTATGTTTCAGCTGAAAGATATGCTACATTAACTGTAGTAGGGCTGCTAGCAAAAAATTCTCTCTGCCTTGCTGTAAACTTATGCACCATGTCAATGTTTTTATCTTGTACATGGTTTGATAGCTGTGGCTGTAGTAATTCTTTCCTGATTTTCATTGTCTTTGCAGAATTACTTTATTTCTAATGCTTTATTTCTAATAATAATTTCTAAATAATTTCTCTATTTCTATTTCTATTTCTAATAATTTTATTTCATAGTCCTGCTAAATAGTTTTTTCAATTAACTGTTAATTCTCCTTTACAAAATTAGGAAAGGTAGTGTGAAATTCTCCTAAAGCTCTAGGAGTTATGTCTTAAGACACTAACAGAAATTTATGAAGAACTCAGATGACTGCAGGTGTGTATGCAGGAGGCATGCATACTACCTGGCATGTAGGAAGAAGAGTACAAATCTGTATCACAAATTGCAAAGTGATCCTTCCAAATTCCAGTTCATCTTCCAGGTATGTCTCTGTATCCCCCTAATGTTTTTCAAGACCCATATTAAGCAAATGGAAATCAAACTTTACTTAAAGCCTTTAAATTTGATACGACAACTCTACATTGTCCTGACAGATTAGGATTGCTATAGGAATCCTTGGGCCACTGGCAACATGGGCAAGAAGTATTCTCCAGTGACTATCCAAATAAAGACTTCTGTAGAAGTAAAGCTCCTTGGACTTCCCTCTGAAAGTCTCCTCCAGTTAAAGGTTTCTAATGTAGATAGCCCAAAGCTAAGTCCCATTTCTTCCTTTACTGTACTGAAGTAATAGATTTGTTTAGGTTGAAACTTAAGGCCATTTCCTCTTGTCCTATGACAGCCTGATACCTGTGAGAAGAGATTGACCCTCAACTCACTACACACAGCCTCCATTCAGGTAGTTGTACAGAGTGGTAAGGTTTCCCCTGAGCTTCCTTTGTTCCAGGATAAACAACTCCACCATCCTTGGCTGCTCCTCACAGGACTTGTGCTCTAAACCACTTCCCAGCTCCACTGCCCTTCTCTGGACACTCTCCAGCACTTCAATGACCTTGTAGTGAGGGGCTCAGAACTGGACGCAGCATTTGAGGTGTGGCCTCACCAGTGCTGAGTACAGAGGGATAATCAGTACGCTGGTCCTGCTAGCCACACTCTTCCGATATAGGCCAGGATGCTATTGACCTCTCTCTCCTATTTTATTTTTAACAATTGCTTTTAACCTAAACTATTTTTAGGAATATTATTTCTCTCCTTTTCCAATACTTTTGACTGCTCATATTTCCAACAACAGTTTCCTCAGGTGTTTGCACTAACTTTTTCTGACAGAATTGCATTAAACTGTGCCTGTACACTTGGGACTATCAGATTCAACACAGAGGCCGTACCATCATGACAGGCAGCCTCTGTGTTTTTGCCAAAAGAATAATTTAAGGCATTTAAGGGCCAGCTATCTGACACTGGACTTGTGCTTCTCTCTTGCGATCTGACTCCCAGTTTGGCACTTCTGTAGTCAATATTTAAATAGGTTTCCTAGCACCTGTTTTCAGTGCATGTGATTTCAGCTGCAAGATGCAAAACTAAAATCTCTGTGGTAATCATCTGAAAAAGAAACTATAGTTATCTTCAGTTGAAATAATTTTTCTGTAAAAGTATTTGGGTACTAAAGGTAACATGGCAAGAAATGCTCACTTATATTTGAGACAGGGTGTTTTTCTGGAAAGTCAATAGCTGTCCCTGAGTATCTCTCTAGAGCTGTATCTTCATTTTTGTTGTGAGTATTTGCTACCTTCTGAATGTGTAATTAATTATGTGAAAATTCATGACTTCACTATGACCACTGCCAGGAATCAAGCACAAGTTAGCATCTACAAACACAAGTGTGCATTTGGATTTAGTAAAGCAATCCAGTTTATGTTTTGTCTGTCCCTGAGTCCCAAGGAAGTTTGTTCATCCAGCAAACTGGCATAGCTTATATGTGTGGTTCTTTGCGAGCAAAGTTGTCTCAGAAATTTTGATCTACTTTGCCTGGATAATATTTTGAAATCTTTACCCTGACAGACGAATGGCTAAAAGCATAAATTACAGAGATTTGTGGAGGACAGATTAAATTCCTGACTGAAAGTTCAGTTCTTCAAATGGTTCTTCATAAAAAAGCAGAGGAGAGAAATGCCAATAGATATAAAGTGGACCAATTGATGTTTTCCTTCCATTTGTCTTCCAGTGCAGCCTCTTCCTGTGATGGTCTTCTAATAGATTACCATTTTCTAAAATTTCTAACAATTTTAAGCCTAGTTTTAGTGTTTTTTTGGGGTGTTTTTTTTGGTCTAATATTTTATGGGTATCTCCTTTTCTAGAACTTATTCCCCATCCTGCCTGGTCATTCATCTTTACTACAGGGTATGATGCTTTTTGGGATAGGTCACAGCTTTGACTATATTTATGAAGCATCCTGTAGGCCTGCAGGTCTGCTAAGCTAGATAATAATAAAATTAAAATTAGAGCATGGAAAGAAAAATGTGAAAAAGAAGGAAAATGAGCTTGATCTTTATATCTCAGCTCTGCTATCTGGTGAACTTTTAACTGGCAATGTAAAATCAGGACTGGAATGCACACATAAAAGGTATTTGACCTAAATGTGTGTTGTTAACTAAGATAATTAAAAAGTGATGATGACTGCTAATAGATTCTCCATGAAAGAGTACAATGTATATTTTCTGATTAGCTTAATCCTAAATGTAATCTTTGAAGCACATGGAAACAGCACAACGACCTAACAGTTTTATGACAAAATCTACCTGATGACAGAAGGATAGGAAAAGGACATTTTTAAATGTTATTTTTATTAATTGACTCACTTCCAAACTTCAGTTGTTTCTGAGGTGTCTTGCAGCTTCCACTTCTAATTAAAAAAAAAAAAGTAATTAATAATGTTTCTGTTGTTTTTTCTTCAAAAGCTGCAAGCAATTAGGGAGTATAGGAGAAAATTATACACTGCAGACTATGTTTATACCTACATCAGAAAGAAAGAGGGGCAGGGGGAAATGAGTGGAATGAACATTAGCTTAAACATTTAAAATCATATTAAGTAATTTGGTTATGAGACAATCCAGGCCCATAATACAATGGAGTGCAATTCTTCTGTCTGTTGGAAAGGTTTAACTTTGCATTTTATGGGCTGTTATGCATATTTCTCTTACCTATAGTAAATTTCTCTTACATTAAGTATACCTATTTGAAATATTTCATAGTGACAATAGAATATGTCTGCATACACACACAAGGAAACTCAATGTTAACTTTATGTTTGTCACGTCTTATTGAATAGTCTGCATACAGAGAATGTAAGAACATTTAATACTTCATCAGAATACTGATATTTAAATTGTCCATAGCTAACTTGTCTGAATCTTCATATTTTATTCTTTACTTATGTTGAATACGCTCTTCAGATACATATATGCGAAACTTTTGCCTGAAATATGTATCTTGAAGAACACTTATCCAGCTTATCTTTTAGGTCTTTGGAAATCCTTTTGTCCCCTTAAATAAGATCCCCTCCCCCACCTCTCCCAACCCAAACCATCCTTAAAAGCTAATCACACAGCTAACAATATTCCATTAAGACAATTAGAAGAAGTATCATTCTGGCATATAGCAGCTAGACTAGTGATTATGTTTGGGCAGGCATCCCCCAGAGTGGGAAAGCACATCTGGAGTAGAGAGTGGAAAATATGTGTTTCTAGGAGATGAAGCCATTTTCCCTGCTTCTATGGTAACAGATTTGGTGCTTGCTCATTATTAACACTCATCAGCTTCTGGACTTTAAGCTGCAGTCCCCAGGCATGTGCATTTGTTCTGTTTTTACTTACCATGGATTCCACCAAAGTCATGTACGAGTTAAAACATTTTTTTCGCAGTTGAGTGCTACAACTGGATATACTACTCTGCTCTGTGAAAGGGGGCACAAATGATAGTTTTCTGGGAAGGGCAAGGTCTTAGTGCCTTTTGGGCACTTCCTGAGTCTGATGATGGATTAGGCTTCTCAAAGGAGCCCTTCATGTACCTTGCATCCATGACACCTTGTCCAGCTGATCCCAGCGGGAGTTTTGCCAAGCTACTAAAAGCAGCACCGGTCTGGAAACAAGCAGCGGCAGAGAACCTTTGAGTGAACTTTCATGACAAACAATCCTGAAAGATTTATGCAGTTCTAGGATAAGGTACTTGCTAGGTAGGATGCTTTTCAGATCTTAGTTGTGAAACACCTAAATCCCTCTGAAATCCTCATATAGGATCCTGAATTCATTCTTTGCACACAGCTTTCACTGACCTCACCAGAAACGTGATTTTTTCTTACATGCGGGAGCCAAGGCAGAAAATAACATTCTGGGAGTGTTTCGTTTCATTCTGGCTACAAAGAATCCTCAGATTTCTGCTTCTCGGGGACCTCCTTTGGGACCGCCGTCCCCGGGGGAGCCCGGCCGGGCCGGGCGCCGCCAGCGCCGCGCTCGCAGCGCCATGGCAACGGCGCGGCGGCCGCAGGCCCGGCCGGGCCCCGCGGCCCCGGCGCTGCGCCCGCCGCTCCCGGCATCTCCCGGGCACGAGCCGCTCCCGCCGCTCCCCGGGACCGGTCTCGCCTGGGACTGATCCCGCGCCGAGCTCACCTGGGCAGGCTCGGCCCGGGCGGCTGCGGGTGCCGGGGCAGGATGCGCTCCAAGCGGCTGACCACCGGTACGTCCCCGGCCTGCGGGCCGGCTCCGCGCCGCACGGGGCTCGGGCACCACGGTGGCGGCCTCAGGCACAAAACGGCAGCGTTTAGAACTGACGGTGTAAACTTGCCCGGCAGAACTCATCACTGCGAAGAAAGGACTTTACTCCCCTCAGGAGGCATCACTAAAGACAGGATATTATCCTAGAATGAATGAGAGTTGATTATTCGGGAACACAATTGTATCTTTTTAATTTTATCACATGATTTGAAATATTTGCTGTCCAAAGTTTTGACAGTCTCATACAAATTCTGTATTTTCACCAAGCTTCTAGTTATTAGTTTTGCAGAGGACAGCTGACATGAAGTGAACAGATAGATATAAGAAATAATATATTTTTTAAATTCTTGATTTATATTTAAATAATTATTGTGATAGTTAATTTTTGCGCGGGTCAACATTACAGCATATGCTTAGTTTATTTTATTTCTTCAGACCAAGTTATTTTATTTCGGAATACCCAGGAGGGTTGTCATACCTCACTACTTTTTGTTGTATTGTAGTTAAACCAGATTAACTGTACTGTTTAGATGACATATGATATTTATTATCTTCTTTTCAGAACCTCCGTGTGTAACAGAAGAGATATTAGTAAGTATGCTTATAAGGCTTGGTCATTATTTTCATCATACAGTATGGAGCCAAAAAAGAAAAAAAAAAAAACATTTTGGAAACCATTGTCTGTTTTCCCATTTCTTTTTTGTAAGTATAGATTACTGAACAATTTCTTAAAATTTTGTCAGATAAAATACTTAGTTTGAAAATAATTAGAAAAAAACATAACAGGAAGCTATGGAGAATGAAGATGGAAATGAAAGTGTATTACGATGAAGCCATAGGATGAAGGAAAATGATTAGGATGAAGGAAACAAACAACTGAAAGATTCAACATGACAGGTGTAACAATCTCCTTACTTTACCTTTTTTGCTTTTTGTTCATAGCTCATTGTAGTATTTCACTGATGTTTTTCTTCTTGTTTGAGAGGTATATATGTTTGTCTGCTACCTCATAAGAAATGACATGTTTACTGCTGCAGTTCAGGTGATGTTTGCCTATTCCCTGCTTTGGATGCCTTTGTAACTTAGTGCCTTTTGGGCATTTACTGTGTATTTTAAAGTATAAATGTGTTTATATTGCTTTTGGGAATCTCTAGGTACTGTTTTATTTATAGTGTTTATTACCATAGACAGAACCAACAAAAGCACAAGTTTTGGACCAATTTAGAACACCTTAGCCTTCAGTTGCAATTCTAAGGCTTTTTCTAGTCCTAATTTAGACTGTGCTGCAGGAGAAATGACATGGAAAGAAATGAAACCGAATGCTTTCTGGCACACAAATCTAATCTGTAGTATTGTACATGCAACTCCCTAACCTATAATGTGCACATAAGAAAGTGCAACTGACTTCAAAGGCTGTCTGCAAAATCTGTCCAAAAACCAGAGGAAAGTATATAATATGTAGATGCAGTAAGTAATAATGCACACATTAATAAAATCATAAGCATTTTATCTATTAAACAACCACTGTGTTTACATTTCTTGCTGTTTTATGGGGCTACAGAGAATTATGTCCTTGGGAAATTAAAAACATGTTACCTGCATATTCCTAAAGAGCTTATACTTCAGCCAGTAAGAAATTAATTGTTTTAATAAGTCATATGAAACAATAAAATATTTTCACCGTGTATTATCATATCTAGACCTATCTCGAGATTCATCCTTGTCAGTGTCAAACCAAACATGAGGCTGACTATAGCTTGTTTCTAATTAATTTTCCTAATTGTGTTAACACTTGCAGAATTGATATTCATGGATTTGATTGCCTATTGACATTAGTAAGAGGATTGTCTGTTGATTTCAAAATGGGTTAGACATGTTGGTAAATTCCTCTATTTAAGCAGTGCCCAAACATCTCTAGGTCCATGGCACTACAATTGCATTGGATCACGGGCCTGTGATACGAATAAGGCATGAGAGCCTTGCTTTCAGCACTGGCAGCATTTTCTAGGAATGAGCTTGGGCTACCTTGCCTGTGCTGTATTAGTCACCACAGCAACCACAAGTGCTAAGGAATAAATGCTGGCAGACTAGGGCCAGACAAACACCATCAGGTCTAGTCCTGACTTGTCATGCATGTTATCTCAGATTTCTTCCTTATCTGAGCACAAGCTATCTGTATTTAGGTTAGACCACTGGGGTATGGATCAAGGTACTGCTTGCCTATACCCTGTGCATAACCTCTCTTTAATGCTATTCCTCATTAGTACAATTCAGTGCTATCAACTTGAGAAAGAGAAAAGAGATTTGTGTTGCAACACCTTTGCTGCTATTGGCAAATACATTAAATTTAAGCTCATTCTCCTTGCCTTGCAAGGCTGAAATTACAGAATATTCAGGAAAATAAAACTAGTAAAAATTATTTGTCTTCATTATACTGAAGACACATATCTGAAGACCAGTGGAATAATGTTCTAGTTTTACCCTCTGTTGAATTGAAATGGGATGGTGGAGATACTGAGTCAATAAAAGTAAGACTTGGAGCCATACTTTTGGATTTGTCAACAGCAAAACAGTTTTTGTGTCATGCTAGCAGGGTTTAAAATGCAGGCATCAGAAAGTATACAAAAACACCTGCAGATGAAATCTTCACTTCTGATGAGGACAATAGGAAGCCACCCAGTTCTATCAGATTCAAAGTATGGCATGCACTGCTTGCTTGCTGAGTAAAAATATAGGTTAGTGTACTCCCTTTTAGTCCCCAAATATCCCCAAGCAGCAGTGTGAGAGCAGAAGGTGGCCCTGGTGAAATATTACACTCTCCTTCTTCCCAAGTGCAAGAGAGAAAGGTACAATGTGGGGAATTTCTAGACTGTTAGCTTATGCACATTTTTTTCAAAAGTTTCAACATCTAGAAGCTGTTTGGTTGATGGCTTTATCTGTAAATTCATTGGCAAAGGATTCACCTTCATATGTGCATTTTAAATTGCTAGGGACCTTGGCAGTGTGCAATGGCTAGAATGTAACAGTGATGCAATGACTGTATTCTCAAAAATGGGAAATAATATTTTGCAAAATCTTCCATGTCATATCAAAAAATATTGTTTGAAGCAATAGTACATTTAAATATTAGTGCAGATTATTACAAGCTGTGCTTTGTGGTTTTATCTCTCTATAGGAAGAATGCTTAGCCACAGATGATATGCTTGTGGATTTCTTTAATGAATTTTTGAGTCTTCCGGTAAGTACTTTACAGAAATTCCTTGCAAAATACAAGAAACACCTTACTAAGATTAAGAATAACTTCATCCAACTTGGAAAATGTTATGTTTTGCCATATATCTGTACTTTAATCATAGCAGCCTGTACTGCTCAGTGCTATTATCAGTAAGAATAGCCCAGTTATCTGGACTTCTGGGGACAGATGTTCTCTTGCTAATTTACAGAATCACAAATGGGTCATGTTGGAAGGGAGCACAGAGGGTCATCTGGTCCAACCTCCCTGCTCAAGCAGGCTCATCCCAGAACACGTGGCACAGGATTGTGTCCAGATGGTTCTTGACTATCTCCAGTGAGGGGGGCCCCACCATCTCTCTGGGCAGCCTGTTCCAGTGCTCAGTCACCCACACAGTAAAGGAGTTCTTCCTTGTGTTCAGGTGGAGTTTTCTGTGCCCATTGCCTTTTGTCCTATTGCTCAGCACCACTGAGCAGAGCCTGGCATCATCCTCCCTTAATTTATTGATAGACATTGATAAGGGCTCCTCTTATTTGTCTCTTCTTGAGGCTGAATGTGCCCAGCTCCTTCAGCTTTTCCTCATAACAGAGTTGCTCCAGTCCCTTAACCACTTTCGTAACCGTCTCCTGGATTGCTCAAGGAGCTCCATGTTTCCTGTGTACTGAAGAGCCCTTGACCTGCTGGCAGGCTTCTTCCTAATGTACACCGTGCCTTCTTGGCCACAGGGCCACACTGCTGCCTCATGGAAAGCTCGTTGTCCACCAAGATCCCTAGATTGTTTATGTATTTAAACTTACATAATTAATAATTTATGTATTTAAATAACAGTGCACTAAAATAATAGGAATAGGAAATGAAAAAGACATAAATACTTTCTTAAAAGGTGTCCACTTCTATTACAGTGTCACATCATGACGACTTAAATGTTTGTCCTTTTACAGTTTTCTGGCAATGTATTCAGTGATTAATTAACATTTTAGCTTAGGAAACAACTCTTTCTCCTCATGGTTCAGAAGGTTTTGAAGTTGGTACTTCCCTCCTCTTCCTCTCCCTCTCCCATTTGCAGCCAGAAGGATGCAGTCTTACACTGTATTCTGTGTGCTGGTCCAGTTATAGTTAGACCATCAATTAGACCTACAGTTAGACCTTGTATTTAACCAGTTCTCCTGTATTTTGCTCCTTTTCCCTATCAACTAGCTAGCTCTCCACACTCTGTTGGGAGTCACATGTACAGTCCTGCACCTTCAATATGGCAACCTCATCCACATCTTAGTAGTCTTGGCCCTGATGCCTTACACTCAAATTCCTTGTCAGGTGGCACAGACCTTTCCACAGGATCACTTGTGGCTCCCACCTGATGTGCCACAGAGTTGTCCCACAGCCTGTTCCCTTCCTAAGGCACTGCAGTCCATCAGGCTACACTACAAGAACTTATATCCATTATAGCTTGCTTGGTAGGAGCCACTGGCAGCATTAGGAGAGAGCAGATATTTCTTGGACCTCAAAGGAGCTACAAAGTGGCTTTGTGAAGTCACTAATGAAAAAAATTCAGTTGTGATTCATAACTGAGTGATTTGGCTTACTTAATTGAACCAGACATAGCTGTCTAAGACACATCATAGATTTGTGTAAATGTACACAACATGGAAATTGCAGTACTAAGGATGGTAGAATGGGCTCCTCATTCTAATTTTTAATCCTAAAAGAGAATCTGGAAGTATTAACTCTATGTTAGAGTGTGAGTTTTGTGCACAACATTGATACTGACTTCTTCCAGGAGCTCAGTCTTTACATGCTTTCACCACACTGCAAGATTCCAAAGAGTAGACAAAGCTAGAGAGACAGATTATACAAAACGTGTGGTAAGGGGGCTGTTTTTTTTCTTTCCTCAACACCTCAACTCCACCAATCCCTGCCCCACAGCTGCCTTAGGGTATCTGCTTAAATCCAAGCCTAAGTACTTAGGTTTTAAATCCTGGCCTCCTTCCATATGCTGGATTGTTCTTAGCATAGGAATACCATCCCCCATGCCTTTGCTTCTTATTTGGAAACAATGCTTCAAGTTTTCTCCAAATTGCAGAGGATGAAGAGGGTAAGAAGTTCAGCCTTTTTAGTCTCTTGATCTCCTTGGACATACACAAATTTCAGGATATCTGTTAGAGGCCAAAATTCTCCTTGGCTTCAGAGGGCTCCTCAGCCCACAGTCCTGGTGCACTCAGCAGCTCTGGACTGCAGCAATTGTCCAGGCACTCCTGACGACTCTGGAAGCCCACAGAAAATAGTTCACAGTCACTCCTGAGTAAACACCGTTCTATGCTGGTAATCTTGGTAGGTTTCTAAGATGATGCATGGTCTCTCTTCCACATATTTACATATCTTCATGAGAACAGATGCTCTATTAGCTATTTTTAACTGTAATGTTCTCATAATTGGTTTTATTTTTTCTTTGATCTTTTCCTAAGGATTTATCCTCTTCAGGATTAAGTTTTGTTAATGCCTTGAGTTCTGTGGTTTGAATACCTTACATTCCCAATTTCCCTCTCCTTCTCAGAAGGTTTCTACTGAAACGGTGCATTGAAATTTCCATTGCTTTATTCTTGTTGTGCTTATACACTGTTGCCTGGGAACAGTATTACCCAGGTGTGCTAGTAGTTAGGCAACAAGTTAAACTGAAAATATTGTGAGACTTGATACAAGAAATGAGGGGGACCATATGCTTATTTTAAGGGACTGCTTCTGCACTGATTTATAATGCACCATTAGCATATGGAAAAATTGTATCACTGGGGACTTGCTGTAACAGCAGCAGGTTTTTAATGTGGTTTTCTTTTTGCTTTGATTTGCAGTGTATCCCTTAAATGATCCTCTTGTTACAATGACATTCAATGTAATCTGACATAAATATCTAGGTACTCCCAAAGAGCTATATACTGTAATAAAGTGTAATTTACAGAAAGTATTTCTGAAATACATAATACAAAAAACCTCAGGAGGGCACTTGTTGCCAGTAGTACAGTGATTTCACAGTAGCAGAAACCAATTACATGACACACAAATGAGTTACACCTTCCTTAGTAACTAATGTAAAAGGAAAGATTTAAGAGAAACATTGGCCTGGACACATTTCCAGTTCTAGAAGTTTAGGCTAGAATTTGAATCTCTAATTCATGTATTAAAAACATCCAAGGATATGTTTAGTCAGGAATGAAAATTCAGAAGTCAGAAATTGTCATCCAGCTCAGTGTTGGAGGCAAGCACAGTAATAATAATCAGCTTTTTTCTCCTGCGCTCTGCAAGCTGCTTGCTACTTACTCCATCCCAAGTCCATACTGGGTCTTACCTGTCATTTTCCAGTTACCAGTGATCCTGAGGAAGGCACACACCTCCTCTTTGCAACCTCAAGGAGTTGCACTAGAGACAAAAGTGCTACCTGCTGCTTCTATTGATGCACATTCAGGAGATGACAATTTGGTGGTGAGTCCCTGGTTTTTGATTTCCCTTGCAGCAGAAATATTCTAAGTGACTGTAATTTTATCAACTTTAGATTTCAGGAATATTTCTTTGAAACATTGTTCTCACTGTAAAAGCTCTTCTCCAGGTAGTCTGTGGTCCTGCATTTGATGCAGGTGATGATTCTGGAAACAGTTGAAGCCCAAATAATAAAGCTCAGGTTGGTCTTTCTGAAGACCAAATGATCCTGAAAATCTAGTGCTGTCACAAAACCTAGTGCTGTCACTTTTGCTTGATCTGAGTAACAGATTACAGAAAGAGCAGAAAGCAAAAAAGCAATCCACTCTGCTGCACAGTTCAGGCCCTTCACAGCTTTGAAGATAACTTTGAATAATTCCATGCATCAAATCATCAATTCAAGGCATCAGTGCATGCTCATTAGTGTCCTCTTGTCTTTTCCAGGTGTGAGGAGGGAGGCTGCAGTTGCCAATACAACCTCCCTTAAAAAGGCTTTGACAGAAGTAAGGCCCTCCATGCATGTTACATTGAGTTTTACCTAGGACTAAAACTTGCATCATGTCTTTGACATTGAAGGAAGCAAACAAAGCATTCCTGATTACATTCCTTATTAATAGTATGTTTACTCTAAATGTTCTTCACTCCTAATTAGATTGTGATATGTGATTATGACTTCTATCTTACTCATCAACAGAAGGGAAATCCTGGACTCATGAAAGTCAATGGGAGATTCGGCACTTACCAAGTGTCATGTGAATTTTTCCAGACACTTCATAGAGCTGCTCAAATTCTTTTCTGGTGTGGACTCTCACTGACATTTATTTATGACATACATATATCCTTCTTAAGGAGGTTTTGGCAATGCTCCTGGATGAGATCTGTATTCACTCCCACCCTTAACCTAAGAAGCAGCCAAGCTGTGGTCATTCTCTTTCTCTTGAGATCAAACTACATTATTTGGGTCTGGGATGTGAGCATATTTACACATTTGTTAATTGTATCCGAAGTTGAGTGTATCTGAAAACTGTTAAGACAGAGAACAGTGAGATTTATATGTCTGATATCCTGGCAACATGGTGATGGATGCTGTTTTGGTTTCTGTTATGGGAGGACTGAGAGAAATTTGTCTTCCCTTCAGTTAAGTGTATAACTTCAGGTTTCAGAATTATGTATTCTGTTTATTTTTCAGCTGAAAACATATTCAATATGTATTTGAAAGCTAAGAAATTTCTTTGCTGTCAAAAAAGTACATGCATTTATTTGTTTATTTAATAGTATTGCTGTACCACAGTCTGAAAACAGCTTTTTGTTATTTGTTCAGAGATTTTTTTCTGAGGCTAAGATTACTACATTGAATTACATTGGTCATACTGGCTTGGGAGGAGAATTTCCTGCAAGTGAAACAGTTTTCAAAGTCTGTAGACTTCTTATTTGTTGGTATTCTCAAGTCCTTGATCTTATTTATTGTGCTACATTGACAATGTATGAATCCCAAGCTTCAAGGCTCCTGCCAAGCCCAATTTATTTTTTCTTAACATCTTGAGGTATAATTTCTCTGCAGATTTCCCTTCCTATCTTCAAAGCACCAAAAATTGGCTCAAGCTAAAGAGAATGGTATACTTAGTCTTTGGTTAGTGTATTTTACTTGTCTGTGAAAAGACAAAAGCACTTGCCAAATGTGGGGTAAGAAAGATATTTCTTAGATTATTATCTTATATTAGATTGGCATGGATAATTTTTCCCCTTTCCTTTACAGTGTAGATGATCATCTACTCCTTAACATAGGTGTCTTCACCAAAGAGATTCCTCATTATTGCAATGATGGAATGTTGGTGGTGCCATGAGCCTCTCTCATTGTCCTGAAAAGTGTTTCAGGATTTTACAGTATGTTACTTCCATTGGAAAGGTTTTAAGTTTGCTAAAGGATACTTTTGTATCAACAATTTGTTGGTACTTTTCTTTTTTTTTTTTTTTTTTTTTTTTTTTGTTTTTTTTTTTTTTTTTTTTTTTTTTTTTTTTTTTTTTTTGTGGCTTTTAATGTGTGAGAATGGTTAAATTGAGTGTTTTGCCCTAAAGTTCTTCAGATACTGAAAGGAAAATGGGTTGACTGATCATCTCTCCTGTGTGGTAACTGGGAAAATGTTTCCTACAACAAATCAGATTCTGGGGGTGGTTTTTTGTGTGTTCCCATTTGATTTTTCTCATAACATTGTCACTTTTATTTTTGGGGTGGTGAAAGGTTAAGAAGATTAGGAATTACCTCTTCTTTTATTATGCTTATAAAAACATTCTGATTTATCATTCTAAATTTTTTGAGTAAACAAGCTTCTCCAGAAAGGCTTAAATTATTCCAAAATGCTTTTGTATGATAGCTGAAGAGATGCTCTTTTGGGAATTTGGGATTTGTACAGAATTATAGATTACTGTCTGGAAGAGTCTTAGAGGAGGTCTGTAGTGTGGCTTCCTTCTCAAAGCAAAGTCAGTGCTTTACTTGCTTGGCACTTTCTGCAGTTGGTCTTGAAAACCTCCAACAGCAGATTCCACTCTGGACAGCCTATTCCAGTGCTAATCATCCCAAAATCACCTGTTTTCTTATAATCCAGTTGAGACCTCTATTGTTTCAGTGTGTGACAAGGGATCTCTTGTCCTCCCACCATACACCTCCATAAAAAGCCCGCTTTTATGTTTTATGTTTTGATGGACTTGATCAAATATGTGAATATCCTTCTTGTACAGGGGCCCCAAAACTGGATGCAGTATTCCAGATGCATCCTTACTGGTGTCAAGTCTACTGGCTAATCTCTGAGAGAAGTATGCATGCCTTTTGATGTCCCTGGGGATGAGTAACTACATGCAAACCCCAAAAGTCTGAACTAGAACCCCCTTTTTTAGTCAAATATGTAGTGTATGAAGTTTAAATCTTCCTATCCGGTCAGTGTATGTTCTTTTGTTCTATTAGTATATTTATCTTATAAATGATTGGCAGTCAGACCCCAAAACAGCAATACACTTTACATTTTAAAAATTGTCACTAGCATCCATTTCACTACATTAAAATTGCCATAGTTTTCTGTTCAGCTAAATAGAATGTGTATCAAAAAGCCCTAGATCTAGAGTAAGTTACAAATTATTAAATAAAACTAGATATATGTGCTAAACTAATACTGTATTGCTTAGTTTTCAATTTGAAAAATATGAAACTAAGACAATCTCATAATATCTAATCAGAAAGCCCTTTATTATGAAATTTGAATTTTGTTTGCTTTTTTTTTCCCATAAGCAAGAGCATTTCAAATCCTAAGAGATTTAAGTGCTTTGATTCTTAGTGTACTTTCTTCAGTTTCTTTTTTTAAAACATGAAGGAATGTAAAAGGAAGAAAACATTAAGGTTGCACAGTCACTTAAAGCTGGTAGCAGCACAAATTAGGTTTGAAAGTAAATGAAGTGTGCACATAGCAAACTGGAAGGAGGTCTGCATGTAGGGAAATCTACTACACATTAAAGGTTTGTTAGATGTTGTTTGGTACATCTGGAAAAAAACCCACTAAAAACTGCAGAGTACCCTGGAGAAAATTATTGCCAAAAGAGGCAGAAGGTGTCAGAGAACAAAAACCAATCCATGATTTCAGCTGAAGTTAAGTAACTGAACAGACTCATGCAATTCAATGCATGGCCCTGAGCAGTGATGTCTGATGTCAGAGGCACTGATCGTACACTTAATGCTCTCACATGCTGTGTGCTTTGCCAGGCTGAGCCTCTACAGTGAGACATTATGGGATAAGTAGGGAATGCTGAAAAAACATGTTGCAGCCACATGGTTCAATTTTGGGCATTGTTCTACAAGACACTGATCAACAAGGAGGCTTCAAACAGAAGCAACAAAATAAATGACACTAATATCATTACTTTGGGTTTATACAGGTGTGGAGAAGAATCAAATTGTTCTGTAGTATATTTCTATGTTATATGTAGCATGTATTTAACATATTTAGAATGTATATGAGTTATGTCTGTGTGCATATACGTGATATATGAAAAAGTTCAAGGCAATTAAAAATACAGTACTTGAACAAATAAAATATTCTTATTAAATGCAGGAGAACGACAACTGTGCAAACACCAGGTGAGATCCTTTCTGGAAAAAAAACCAAAATAAGTTTTGGCGCTGGGTTTAGGTGTGGCCTTGTCGTCTGAGTGCAGAGATGCTTATATACCCTATATAATATAGAGTATATAATGCACATAAGTTCTATATAATCTCCTATTCATAACTGTCATGGGTATCCTCTATGACTTCTGTAAAATCTATCCATATTTTTCTCTTCATTTCAAGTAAGAGAATTTTAAAGATAGTCTTTTAGGGAAATACCTGATACCAGAGCTTTAAATATGAAAGATGGCTCTGTTTTACTGTGTACACTTGCAGTGTGGTTTTGTGAGTTTACAAAAGTCACATTTGCATGGACAAACTTGGAGTTTAGTCCATCTCCTCTATTATACAGTATTTGACTGAACTAGTGATGTATAATAAAATTTGCTACAGGACAAAAGTTTTGGTAGTTGTTTGACCTATAGTAACAGTATGGGAACAAACCTTTCCTACATATGAAGATCTTCAGATTCATTCTCAATCACAATAAATCTCACATTTAAAAGGTCAGTTTCATTGCTACTATTTTCATGCCTTGATTGTTGATAATTACAAATGGGAGAATAATACTATAGATCTGATCCTGTAGGTGAGTACTTCTCTGTAAGACAGTCACTAAGTCACAGTTAATTATATATGCCTGATTTCAATATACTGCATCAGTTACTTACATGTGAAAAAGAATGGTCTGTGATCTAGAATTAATTAAATTCTTGATAATTAAGTATTGGTGAGATAAAAAGGTAGGAATGCTTTGGAAACCTATACAGCAAAAACAAGAATGCAGAAAAATTACTATTTCAGGCCCCAAGACAAAGAAGCCTCATAATGCAATTTTCTATTCTTTAGGATGCCTCTATATGATAAAAAGTAATTTGTTAAATGACAGTTGCCTTATTACAGTACCATAAACTTTTCTAACTTCTTTTGTAGACCTTTGCCCAGCAAGTGAAGTTTAACTCTGATGTTGGAGCTTTTGAAGTAGTTAATTATACCCCACGATGCCTGGAAAGCCAGCCGAAAAAAATTCTACATGATCAAAAACCTCCAAGCCCCATTTATGATGTTCTAAGCAAAGAAAAGAATGATGGGCAGCTCTCCAAAATGTACAGTGCTTCTTCAACCTTCAGTATTGATCCAAATTACAACACTATGGTAAGCATCTTATACCCTGAGTTTATATTTAGATCTTACTGTAGAGATACTGGCAATAGTTATTGTTGTGTTTGGCTTGGTAGCTTGGGAAAAATGTTAATTTATGTTAGGAAAATATAATGATGGGCCAAATTATGCCCTGTAATGCACATGTGTCTAGCAGACAAGTGAATGGAATTACAGATGCACATCCTGTAGCACAGAATTTTGAAGATTCTGTAGGGCAGGGTTTAGCTGTGTGGTCTGAATACTCTTTAATATTAAAAGAAAAAATATTATGACAACAGTTACTTTACTAGTGATCCCTGGAATGTGCAAATTGACTGAAACTAATGCAGCTCAGTCTTTCCTTATTAATTAATTTCCTTGTGTGGCTATGAGCTCATCTGTGGTCTGGCAACACATAAGTCTCTCTTCCATTAATTCCTAAAGGATTTACATGGTTAGCATCAATTGGAATGGCCAGAAAAAATAATCTTTGGCAAGAAAAGAGCTAAATTAATGGAAAGATGGATTGGAATTTAGAAAAAAAAACCCAAAAAATTCCAAAAAACCAAACCAAAACAAAACAAAAAAAAAAAAAACTGGCTTCAGGCTTGCTTAGACAATATCAGTTTTGGTATTCTTACCTGCCTACTTCCAGGGCCATCTTCAGCACCAAATCAGGCAGGTTAAAATCAGCAGCTGAAGCATCTTACACAGCTGGTACAATACCAGTCAGTGTAATTGGATGTGGGATTTTACCTTTAGACAACAGGTTTCAAGAACTAAAAAGGTATTTCACTGGGATGCTTTGTTTATTTCTTTCTTTCTTATTTTGCATGGATGTGACTGATGCGTCTTCATTTCATTTTATTCAAGGCCAGTCTAAAGTCTTGCTCCATTTTTTGCAGTGCCTGCTCAAAATTATGTCATGGCTGGAAAGTGGAGAGCAGAGCAGGGAGTTGTAACAGACCAGCTTTTCCCAGTATAAGATTAATGATTTTCAGAAAAGAAAACAGTGTTGAGAGGTCAAAAGGCAATGATGTTTAACAAAATTATACTAATGTGATATTGCAATTATCTGCATTTAAACTGGACAAATAATACAAAAGGACAAGGCTCACAGACATCCCTACCATGTTAAATAGTAACAATTACTTTGCTTGAGAGCACAAAAGCAGAAGAACTGTTACTGATTTCTTATTTGCTCTCAGTATTAAACTGAGGAAATGATGTGTGTTTGTACAAGTGTGGCTTACATTGCTCTCTGGGCTAAACTCCCATTACCACCACTGTGGATGGCCTTTCTTGAGCAATTCACAGCCATTTCACTATTATCTTCTTCTTGCATGTGGTCTGGAGAAACAGGGCTTCAGTATTATTTAAGATTTCATTTCTTTCCCTGGGATAGTTTCCATAGATAGGAAGCATTATAGTCTTTTGAAGAACAATATGCCTCAATACCTTTCTTCTTTTGGGGCAAAAGGGTGATATTTCTTATTTTTGATTCCTCCTTTACTTGATGGGTAACATAGATGCCTCATCCAGTTCAGCTTGGCATCTCAAGTCTGAGCTGGAGCAAAATGGCCTGTGAAACAGCTTGCCCCAAACGGTTACTGCAACTACACAAGGTGAAAGGAGTCAGCTCCATTCATTGAGCTACCGTGACTGCACCAGGAGAAGCTACCCTAGATCAACTCTATCAAGTAGTTCTGCTCTAATTAAGTAGGATTTGATCTTTCAGTTGTCAGGTGATCATGCTGTCTGCTTTGCTTTGGCTGCCTTCACATGAACTAAAGAGATTGACAGTTGTTTTTACATATTACATTGATTACAAAAAGTCACCTTGAGTGGTCATCCTGGCAGGTTACTTGTGAAAAGGAGTTATGACTGTTAAATCCTAGTAGGCCTTTCAGGCTATGGCCTGAATTTAAACACATCTTGGCTAAGAAATACATGCAGTGGTATTTTTCCTTTATTTTCCTTTATTTTACTTCTCTCTCAGATTGTTACAAATTTACAGATAACCAAAAGTTCTCTTCATGTGTGTTTGCGTGTTTGCATGTTTGCAAATCAATGATATGGAAGTAAATATCTTCTAATTCATAGTCAATATCAATGATGTGAAATACATTGATAAAAAAATCTGTGGACTTGTGTAGAATTGATCACAACTATGGAAAGAAACTGGCTGACATCCCACATACCTTACTTCAGTGAAACCCCAGTTCAGCAAAGCACTTAAGTATGTTTTTAACTTTAATCAAGGGAAGTTAAACACATGCTTAAACTTAAACATGTGCTAAAAGCTTTGCTGGATTGGGTCCTAGCAAGGTCTAAGGCTGATTGGGTGAGAAAACTAACCAAGGTAACAAACCCCATCAGATTAAATGTAGCATCTTTCTCTGGGGATGGGGAAAGAATAAAAATTTTTTCCTTCTGATATGACATATAATTTTGTGTACCAGCCATGTACAGACGTGAGCATGTTATGAATCATTCAGATAAAAAACTGGGCTGTAAGTCAGTAAATGCATAAATATTAAATGCCAAAATAAAGAAACTATCTTCTGTATTTCAGAAAACCTTGTCAATTGCCAAGAAGAAGCATACACTGTGTCGTTGGGAGTAATTAGTCTCCATCTCCACAAATTACATTGTATGAGCCACTGCCAACATAAGCTTTCCATATTTTGAAATATTTTCTTCTCTCTAAATGAAACCACCCACTTTCTGAGTAATTCAGACTTTTTTAATCCCCTACAGATATGTATGAGGCAGAAATAACCCTTGCCCTGAATGGAATATTAGCTCACGGAAAGAAAATTCAAGCTGTGATCTACATAAATTGATTACCTGATATAACAAGTAGTATCCATCCTTGCTGAAACTTCACCTGTTTTTATGGACAAGGGTAGTTACTGCATTCTTCAAAATAATTAGTCTCACTTCAGTAAAAGAAAAAATGCACCTCAGATGAATAAAATAGACCATCCCCTAAGAGTGGAAAAAGTACACTATTAAAAAAAAATTACTAGGAAGGGCTGTATGTAATTTCTAAGGGAAGCAAGTATGGGTCATTGTGGCCATAGTCAGAGATCTTTCTCTTGCTTCATTGGAACTAGCTGTCTCTGTGTAACTTGCTGCTCAACGTTTCCCTTTCAACCCCCAAACTACTCCTTGTAAGCACTTCTCTTTCTGCTTCAATGAGGCACTGAGGCTTAGACTGTCTGAGCAGAAATTTCTTGTGGTCCCAGGTCATTACACACGTGGGTTTCCAATATGAGTATTACTGTGTACAGTGCTGTTTTGCAGTGATCCAACATAAACGCATGAGAAGTGGTAACTAATTGGATTTCGATTTGTTTGATTTTGGTTTAAATATCCACAGTTTTCCCATTCTGAAAATACAACTTAATTTAAGGTTCCTTACTCTTCAAATTCTTGAGGAAAAATAATAGCTATTATTTATAAAATGTGAAGTCAGAAAGTAGCAGTTTCCTATTGCAGAAAATTTTTGTGCATCTAACTCACATTTGAAATTGTACAGTAAAAGAATGATTCATACACACATTATTTTTGAAGAAAAAACATTCATTATTTGTTACAAAAGTCAAACTATTAATAGGTGAAATTAGGTTTCGACCTTTTCAGCTTTTAATAGGAAAGTATTTTTTCCAGCATAAAGATGATGTTCACTCTGTATTTATTTTCCTGAACCAATGCTTCTGTAGAAGGGGGATGTAGAGAATCAGTTATGTGGCAAGTAAGTCAAGAAAGTCAAGAATACTGCAAAAATTTGGCATTTCTTTTTTAATAGCAACTCGATCAAGAACAAGCAGTTGAGTGGATTAAGAAAGAAAGGCTTCCAGCATTTCTAGAAAGTGACTGTTACTTTGAATACAGGTATTGCAATCCTTTATGCTGTCTTTCAGTTATAAATTTGTATATTTTCCTCTTTCATTTAATTAATCTTGGTAGTATTCTTAAAGTGGTTTTGCCCTCCACTTGTCCTGTTTTCTTTATTGTAATATTTTAGTGACCTGGATAAAGTTAGTGACTTTTTTCACTCATCATGCTGTAATTTTCCTTGACCATGAATTACATTCTATACTACACCAATACGAAGAGAGTAAGAATGGGATTTACTGATTTCCAAATCTCTGTTCCTCAGAGAGGTCATGGTAGCAATGCATCTTTTACTAATCAATATGTAAGCCATATAAGTAGAAGTTACAAGTCTATGAAATTAATTTGGAAAAAAACAGCAAGTGTTTTTATTTCAATTATTAATTTTGTGTCTTTGGGGCCTCTGTCAGACTTTAGCAAAGTTCTCTGTGGGATGCCATGGCATAGCTGGATGATTTGCTGTTAGAAACTTGCAGTATTTTTCCAGATGTCCATTCACCAGATGTTCAGGAGATCTAGTGTGCATTTTTTGAAGGACCTACTTCTATATTCTTTAAGGCTGTGTCTAGATGCAGATGATTGTAGCATGTTTTAGGGATCCAAAAGGAGAGGCAGCCTGGAAGTATGGTTCACAAAACTCAGATTTGCTGATTGTAATGCCAGAGTGGTTACTGGGGTATAGACTTATATATATATATAAATACAGTTAAACATTTTAAAACGTTTTTTTTATTTTCAATAACCTGGAGACTGTACTTCAGTTCAAGGGGGAGAAGTGTGCAAAGAACATGCAAACTGTGAGAGTGCTGAATTATACCTTTGTTAACAGCCTGCTTTACCCATATCTGGGCCTCATGAAACAATAACTTTGATCTTCCGCTATAGCAAACTGTTTGATCAAGAAGAGTTACCAAGAGAATTGCATAAAACCAACTTTAAGGATGTATCTAATTTCAACTGACATCAGTAGTTTAATCTGCTTTCCTAAATCAGAATCAAGATAAGTTCAGATGCTAAAAGGGAAACTTGTGTTTAAAGAGGAACACACTCTAACCCTAGAAATAAATCCTATTTGACCTCCAATAGTGGGCACAAATAAAACAGACTATTCACTTGGTTGTAGGCTCAAGTGTAGGCTTCATCTTCCCTTCACATGTGACTTGGTTGGCTTTGTACTTCTTTCTAACTTAACTAAGTTCTCCCAGTTCTTGGGGCCAGAGCATTCTCACTGTTGTCATGTGGTTCTAAGATTGCCTTTCCTGAACACTGTGGGGTTCACACCAACACAAAGTAGCACTGGAGAACTGTTCAGTACTATGGAATCCCCTTAGATCAGCCAGCTGAACACAAGAGTGCCAGCTATCTTGTAATCAGCTTCAAGTTCCATCAGTGCTGTGGCATTCCTGCTGGAAGATTGCTTCTGTTAGGAACCAGAGGTGTAGTATCTGCTAGTGATACAGGACTTCTGCAGTCTGGGAGAATAGTTCAATTTTAGTGAACAAAATGTTCAAGGGAATCTTGGCAGGGCTTGGAACTGCAGAGATACGTGCAAAATCATCCTGAAAGAAGCCATTTGTTACTGGTAAAGCTTGGTAATGCAAGCAGGGCACTATGTGTGTGCTGGTGAGCTGTGCAGTGGCACTACTGGTATTTACAGATGTGACTGTAGGTGAAGGCTGAAATTATACCTAGCTGGACTCAGTGGGTCCCTTCCAAATAATTCCATTGTTCTATGAAGAAAGTAGATCATTAAGTTCTCTGTAGCCAATTTTTTTAGATAGATGATTTTTTTAAATTGCCATTTTTGTGGGGAAACCAACTGTTTCTCTGAATAAAAGCTAAAATTAATTATTTTCTTGTCTTAACATTTAATTTCAGATTAGCTAAATTGATATCACAGGTAGAATGGAGCAAGACTGGCATTAATTTCATTATAGATAATGACTATTCTCCCTGGATAAGGATAAGGAAACAAAGGCCAAGTTCTCCCCATCCTGAGGAGGATGACTCTTCACTGACTTCATTGACTATGAAGGAGTTCTATGTATCACTTGGCGAGGTAAAATAAACACATTTAGTGGGTGTAGCATCAAGATAGATTGAATGAATTGGATAGAATTATTGTAACTGGGGTCACAACCTCATGGGACAACTGACTCTTGAATAACCTAGTCTAGTGCCAGGGGGTTGGAAACAGATGATCTTCGAGGTCCCTTTTAACCTAAACCATTTTCTCTGATTCTCTAAATAGCTTTTATATTCAAAGTTGTTTGTACTATAGAGGAAAGTCGATGAATTGTAATATGTAGTAGAATGCAGTGATCCCTGATGGGAAGAATGGTGTCTGAACTCCAATGATTTCAGAAGGCTAATTAATTATTTCATTATACTATATTACACTGTACATTTATTACACTATATTACACTATCATTAACTACCTTACTAGAAAACCCGTGACTCTCTCCTGAGAGTCCTGACAGACACATGGATCCAATTGGTCAATGAATCCAAAACACCATCACCAGAATCCAGTCAAGCAATCACCTTGGGTAAACCATCTCCATACCGCATTCCACATGGGCACAAACAGGGGAGCAGTGAATGAGATAAGAATTGTTTTGATTCTCTTTTCTCTGCTTCTCTCACAGCTTCTTGTGGGAGAAATCCTGAGAAAGCTAAGTCTCTTTCTGTTCAGGGGGTATCTGAATACCACAGTAATATAACTTAAACAGAAGCTCAACTCATATGAGTATGCTCAGCTACTGTCACACAGCTCTCTGCCTTGGGAACTATCCATACAGAAATCTACAAAGACTGCACAGAATTCCTATGGACAGTAAGCTGTGGTTCTCAGAAATTCTGCAATAAACAGAGAAATTTTAATTGTTCTATGAAACTTCTTTTCCCAGGCTACAGTTTCTCAGGTAAAGGATTGGTTTACCTTGGCAAAACAAGGTGATTCTGTGAAAACTACAGATTCATATACACATCCTGTAGCTTCTAGTAAAATTCAAGATACTCAGCATTTGCCTGGGCAGCATAAAAGAGATGAATTATTACCTGGAAAAGGTCCCCTTCTGGGTAAGTAACAAGGGTTACTTAATCCTATAGTTAAGTAACAAGGGTTAACAGGGTAACACTGTAGTTTGTAACACAGCTCAGACTAGCTGGAAAGGCTAAGGAATTGTTGCTAACTCCACTTGTTACCTTCTGAGTATCACATGGCATCTAGGGCTTCATACAGGCATTTCTTTCCATAGCTATATTAAGTGAAAGTTTGAGCTAGTTGCCAAGTAATTTTGTGATAGTAGTAGTTTCTTTTCGTACACATCTCTGTCTCATAGAAATCGGTAAGTTTCAGTTGAGTTGTTCTGAGTTTTTCTGGGGGAGAGGCATTAATGTATTTTGAAAGACTTTCTTGTCTGAAGTCTTTGGGTATTTGATAGCATATGATGTGTTTCAGCATCTTCTTATGGTATTTATGTTGGGCACTTAAAGATCTTCTGGCTGCCAATTTTTATGAATCTTGTAAGATGTAATCATTTGGATCCTGTCTATCTTCAAATTTATTTGAAATTGTTTGGCAAGTTCCGGAGTTTCTGGGGGAGAACATACAGATGCGCATATGGACATATACCTCATTGCACAGCCTTGCTTTTTACACAGTAGCAAGGAAGAGGAGCCTCGGCTTGTATGTTAGGAACTTGCTCTCTCTCCATTCTCAGAAATGTATCTCTCTCCCTAATTACCTCAGGTCCTGAGAAGTTATTCTCTATGTTTAATTTCACAGCCCTTTGTTAAGAGGCTGTGATTTTTCACTGTCAAGTCAAAACAAGTGAAATAGGTTAAAATTAAGAAAAAATATTTTAAATCATAGTGATTTTTATGTTAATTTCAACACATTTTGCCACATATAGTTAGGAAATTATGTAATTGCAGAACAGGAAATCTCTGCCATATTCCTAATCCAAGTGTCTGTCTGTGACAGCGGCCAGCACTGGTTAGATGTGGTTTATTTTCAGAGGAAGTTGAAAGGAATGCCACAAAGAAAGTTTCCTTTCCCCTTCAGGGACAGCATCTGCAAAAGCTGATGTTACCAGTGAGAGATCCAGAAAGGCTGAGGAGGGCTGCTCTGTGGCCATTGCTGAAGCTCCTTCCCACACACATTCAAGAGTTTATCTAGACCCAAAATGGCACAGTGCAGCAGCAGAAGAAGATGAACAGGGAAGCATGACTTTTCAGACAGCAGAAGAATTCACATCAGCATCCTCTCAAATTTCAACGAAGGAACCCATTTCAGAGCTGACCCTCCAGCCACCTGCTGACATTGAAAGTAATGTGGAGTTCCACAAAACAGCCTGAAGTGTTTATACACAGGTTAGCAAATAATGAATTGCTCATGGTACTACAATCACTCTTTAACCAAAGTTCTTCTCCACTTACAGCCTTGGACTCCAAGGAAGGTGTCAGAAAACAAGGAAGCTTAAGTCCAAGTTCTGAAAGTGTTGGGCCAGACAGCAGGGCTGCCTGGTGTATTAGTCACGGGACGTACGACACTGGCAACCGACATGAGTTTGAAAGATTCAAGAAGTTCATTAAAGGAACACTTGGGGAGAGGTACTGGTGGCTCTGGATGGATATTGAAAGACTAAAGGCTCTTAAGAACACTACAAGGCAACAAAGGTACTTCCCATTATTTAACAGTTACTCCCATTGTTTTAATACTTGTAACCTAGATAGATCGATGCAGGTTTTGAGATTTCAGAGTACATTGTAATGTCTGAATAAACAGACAATTAAATGTGTGTCCTGACAAGGTTTTGAATGACTCTGCTGAAGCTGATAAAACTCTTTTTGCTGACTTATGTTTGCAAGGCTTACATGAAGTCAGAATCATATTATTAAGGCTGTGTTAGAAAGAGATTTGGAAAACAGATAACAACAGGGAAAAACTAAAGAATAGAAGAAATTAAATTCACAAGTAGTACATCAGTACGATAAACTCCTTTAATGAAAGATCCTGCAGGATTCAGATAGTCTATTCTACAGCACTATACATTTTGTCTTATACAGAACCTGTCTCTAATTTGTGGAAAAAATATTTTGGCTTCTGCCACTTGCCATTAAAAACATGTTGCATGGCAGCAGTTTAAGCAATAGGATAAACTGTTAACCAATAGGATAAAACAGTCAGTTCTGCACAGCATTTGATACATGCTTATGTGACTTTTTTTTGACTGCAGGCAACTCAGTAAGATGAAAAAACTGTACCTGCTGAGCAGTGGAGACTATTTCCTCAGTTCAGAAGTCTTGCTCAGACTTGAGCTACTGCATGGAGATCAGTGGAATATAATGCATTTAAGACAGATTCAGCCTGAAGTAGTGAAACCACTTCTTCTTTACTGGTACGAAAAAATGGATGTGAAATAAAATTCTATTGTTTAATAAACATCCATTTTCTTTAATAAACCTCTTATTTAATGTCACTTATCCCATTGCAATTATTAGAAGCAATGTCACTGTAAGTACTAGCACATTAATTTTTGTCTGAGCCTAAACTATAATCTGCTGAGAAGCCTGGTAGATCTGCCTTAATGAGCCCTTGTCATTTTTCTACCAGAGAATCTGAGGTACTTTGTGGATCTCTGCCTTGGGTAATGTTCAATTAAAGTTTAGTCTGCAGGACAGGGAAGGTCCTCCAGGCAAAGGAGGTTAATTCTGTCCTAACCTGTTCCCCATACTACCCTTCCCAAGTTCTGAGGATGCTCTGTGTATATGCCTTCATGGGATTTAAGCCTGAGACTTTACTGTTCAATGCCTGTCATACAAAATGGCTTTTACATATTAACAGCTAAGTGAGGATATAAATTCTAAGCTATTTCCAAAATATGGGCTAAATTTTTGAAGGTGTTCTCTCCTCCCCAAGGGCATTAATCAAATTCCAGGCATAAACCTGGAATTGTGGATCCTCACATGACTTGTGGTCTCTGTCCTGGCCTCCAATCCTTTCCTATGGTCTGCTGTAGGATGGATGGGGTATATCTTCCTGCAGACTGATAGAAGGGCAACTGTTTGTAATGGTGCAGAATTTCCAACCTAAGTTTACTTATGTGTAGTTTGGTTTTAGATTTGGAAGCATGCAGTGCCTAAACATACCTTTGACACTGACTGATTTTTAATCCTAGATGCATATAGCACCATATCTTGGTACAGTAAACAACATAACTGGAAAAAAAAAAATGAAGCCAAATAGCCCCGTGTTTCATTACTTTGGAAAGTTCTACTTATTAGCTGTTTTCTCCCTAGGGGTCCCAGATTTTGTGTCACTCATTCAACAGCAATAGATGCTGCCAGTGCAAAACTGAAGTTCTGGCACACATGTCAAGAGAGACCAAGAGTGGACATTGATCCTTTCCCACAAATAGTATCATTGTTGCCATTGACCCAAAAGTCTGACATACCACCTTCCCTTCTTCAGGTAAGTAGGATCACAACATTGGAAAACAAAGCTTTTTCCTGTCAAAAATAATGACAAAACTCCTTTAATTCAATGGAACAAGAACAAGGTCTTTTAGGAAACATTTAGCAAGCTGGTATATTGAAGATGGTTACATATAAAAATGCAATAAAATTTCATTATACTTCATACAAAAAGGTGCTATAAACTCAGTCAAATTATCTTCTCAGTTACACTTTGACTATTTCCTAAGTCCTTTGGATAAATATTTTAGCTGGTAGTTCTCAGAGCTGCAAAATGAAGTCTCTAGCAATGCAGCTTCATCACTCAGCCTTGTCTTAATCCAGAATAATTCTTACAACTTCACTGTGGTTAACCTGGATCTGTTCCTCATGTCTGTAAAAATGGCAGAGTTCTGCTTATTTTCTATCACTACAGCACTTCAATCAGCTACACATGGTTTTTTGCTTTCCACAGAGGGCTGTGAGCAACTCAACAGACCTTTACAGACCTTTTCACAGTATGTAGTTTTCAGGTGGCCAGTTCAGTTTTGTCTCTTTTCTTCCTTGAAAGCCTGAGTGTGAGAAGTAACTGCAATAAAACTGACAGGTTTTCATCAGTACAGTGTTAAGCCTCAGGATACATGGTACTTGGAGAATGTGGATTGAAACTGTGGTTCCAGTATCAAGAACTGTATAGGCTATGCCACAGATTTGTCAGCACACACCTCTGTTACTTTAGGTTGGATAGGTTGGAGCTACAGTCACTTCCTATGAAATCTGATTTGTGGAGATAATGGATGAAAACAGTGGGACAGATTTCCTATTTAGAATAAACTGGATTCAGAAGCTATGTTCCTGTTGGTCATGGCAGAAATGGGAGCAAGAAGCACCTGTGTCTTACAGTGACCAGTTCACAAGGTGTGCTAATGAGCCAGGGCTAACTGCAAGTTTTCCAGTCCCTGTTGAATTTGACACAAATTAGGACCTGGTGCCATGAACATCACAGAGTTACTAGATGGCCTGTTTCTTGCTCTTATATTTTTTTTCCTATGATTACTTTGGACTTTTGAATCTTCTAATTACACTGTGCTTGCAAGAGCTTAGAAAAAGCAGCAGCTCTGGGTGAATTTCTGAGGGCACTCTGAATGCAAGTGGCATCTCCAAAAGGTCAGAGCATGATTTTGTTCAAAATAATAAATGATGGTGTGGCAGAATGAATGACCTCTTTCTTTCCCAGTCTGAGTGATTGTATGTATCTTACAGTGAGCTGACTTAAGATAATCGTAAAGTTTCGCAAAGTATGTTCACATGCTCTTCACCTGACATCCTCTGTAGTTCTCTACAATGTGCTTGTAGCATATTTCCACCTGTTAAAAATGCATTTTCTAAGATGTAGTGGTTATTAAGGTATGCTGAAAATTCTTGAAAAATATTCAGAAATTTTTGTAACTTGCCATTTTACATATTGAGATTGACAAGGAAGAATACTCCTGGAAACCCTTGACTGTTTCTGACCAGTCAATGAGAACACATTAAGAAAACACAAAGCTGGAAGAATAATCCACCTTCCTTGTTTTTCTGTAATGTCTTTTACAAAAGTAGAACAAACTCACCAACAACTTTATTAAAACTAGCTAAACCAAATTTCTCTTTGAAGAGATCATCAAGATTGCCACCTAATCTCATAGGGAGTCAGATTCTACAAAGGGATGATACTTCTGGTAGTAGAATGTGGTAAGTACTAAAGTCCCTTGTTTATCTTTCTGCGCAGCAATATACCTCAAATATTTGTGAAAGTATTTGAGATTCTACTGTTTTCATTAATACTTTTCTATAATACAATTATCTGCTTAGTGAAGTACAGTTATGGTACAAATTTGCATGGAGAATTCCTCCCTGGCTGATCAGTTTCTCTCTTGTTTAAGCCTCAATACAAAAAAGTTTATTTCCCCAAATACAAGTGTTTTCTCTTATATAATAGTCGATATTCTACACATTCATATTCTTTTAACTGGTCTCAAATGCTAACCCTCAGAATTGTGCTGTGGCAATGATTTCCACAGGGCAATATGAAAAAGGTATTCTACATTTTTTTTATTAAAATTCAAACTCTCTGTATTTTTCCCTCTACTATTCACTATATCATTACACCAGTTTTTCCCCCCTTCTTATTTATTTATTCTATAAGCAGCCCTAGATTTTTCTTAAATATATATTGAAAATTTTTTTTGTTTGTGATCCAGGCCAATGTCAGCGGGCATGCACATGATTCATAGCTTAGCTCTGGATGGGACCAAAGACTCAGAATACCAGGGTCATAGAAAGTACACCTATGCTGAGCTTCTCCATGTGAGTATGGCTTGAAAATATTAGTTGTCTTGAATAATGGGTTAAAACACTTTATTCTGCAGTATGAAGTAGTCAATAATGGCGAGAACTTGGTTTAATTTTATGAATGTCAATGCTTTATGCAGAGGTATCACTAGAATGTCAGCATTTTTTCTGTTGTATCTGTCACCTATTGGATAGGAAATCATGGCAAACACAGAGGTTTTTTTCACTAGAAAGTGTTGATCTTCTCCGTAGCGACAATGTGTTCAGTAGGCTATGATGGAAAACTCTCTGGATAAATGCTTCAGTGGAATCATTGCCTAGGAAAGTATATTAGACTTACTTTTAGTGAAAACTGAATCTGCCTTAGAAAGTCATTAAAATTATAACATTCATAGAGGAAAATTATTTGTTTGTACACTCCCTCTTTATTGCTTGTGTACTTCATTCTTTTCTTTGTTGAATTATTGCCTGCTAAGCAGGTCTTCAGTCAAGCAAACCTCAGGAGGGACAGGCTGCACAGATTAGCCTTTTCTCAATAACTGTTAAAATGCTGACAAATCAAACATATGAGATGTCAACATCTGGCAATCTGAAATATATCCAAAACCTTTCTTGTTTGTGGAATGGTCTCAAAACAGCCTGCTCTTTCATGGAGGTATTGATACCCATAGTCTTATGACTGAAGGGAAGAAAGTTAAGAAATCTGGGCCCACTCACATGTGCATGGGTTTGCTGAGCACTTGAGCACATTCTTGTTTGATTTTGCACTTCAAAATCACACTTTATTTATTACTTCACTGCAATCATTTTACTTGGTTGTTTTTGACAGTTAAAAAAAGGTTAGTCTTTGCAATCATAGGATATTTGCAGTTAGGAATGTATATTCAGCAAAAGTTCACACCATGAACTATTAGTTTTTACATTGTATGCAATTTTCCTCTTACTGACAGAAGAAAATATCATATATTTACACTGGTTAGGCTGGAACCTACAGTCAAGACCTCACAATTTGCCGTCACAAATACAATGTGAAGGGGAATGCAGGATTCATAGTTTAACTTCATACTGGGGAGGGAGATCTTCCTACTCTGCTTCAAAAGTCTAGTTTCCTCCTCCCCTTCTCCGTCCTTGTTACTGGTTGGAGACAAGCTGATTGCCAGCCACCACACTCATCTGCTTCCACTTCTGCTATCAGAGACAGCAAATCAGCCATAATTTCTCTCTTGTGATCATCAGAAGCTAATTTACTTACAGAAACCTCTTCTGGCTTCTCTGTGAGCATTGACAAAATGGATGTATTCTTCCTCAAATGCTCTAGGAGCTAGCTGTGGTAATGAGCATGGATTTCCAGCTCGCTCAATTGCTCATGATTTTGTTGCTCATGTCAGTAGTGTAACCCCAGAAGATGTATCTTTTGTTCCATAACAGTTAAATGTTTTGAATCTTGATCAAATAACCACCTCCTAACTTCTCTTAATGCAAAACACAGTAGCCTGAGCTGAGACAATCCTTGACAGCTAACTGATGTCATTGAGTATCGCTGGAATTCCCCAGAGCTAAACACATAATGACAGAATTAAGGCCAGGTTCATTTTTCTGTTTTAAGTATTGAGGAACCACCTAAGGGATGCTACGATCACTTAGCTTCTCTGCATGTCTTCAGTCATCAGATTTATTCCATTGGATGTGAATATTTAGTGGGAAAATGGTGTGGAGGGCTATGATCAATTGCATATGTAGTAGAAAATGGAGTCTACTTCCTTGGGATGAAGATACTAATTGAACATGCTTCTTGGCCCTCCATTGCAATGTAGTGACATTTGAAAATAATGAAAGCCTGTTATTCCTTGCTGTGTAACTATGTTTTATTTGTCCAGGGAAAAAGTGTTGCTGGTAGTGTTGTCTTCAGGGGATCAGAAATTGAAAGCATGCTGCAGTCTCTTTATTTGGAGAACAGAGCAGGCTACTACTTCACACAATTCTGTGAGAAGTCAGGGAATAAGGTATGAATATTTTCCTACTCTGTGATAATTTAGTCCACATTGACTGAATGCCAAGTTATAGAGGGCAGCCAGACTAAAAAAAAAAAAAAAAAAAAAAAAAAAAAAAAAAAAAAAAAAAAAAAAAAAAAGAAATGAAGAAAGAAAGATTGATGACTGGATGAATTATTACTTGTGAGACTTCAATCCTTCAACAACAATAAACTGTTCATGTATATATGCAAACTAATGACAGGTCTTAACCAAGCTGTCAGATTCTTACTGTCTCAAACCTATTGGAATTCTTATTGTACCATCAGGGATAAAAAAAAAAAGGCTAATAATTTTTAAAAGTTAACCTTTAACTTGGCAGAAAAGAATAAGCTCTTAACCCACAAAATAAATTTTTAAAAATATGGGAAATCTGCTGTGCTATTACTCCTGATAATCTGATTTTGTCTTACTTTTTGGATGTCCAAAATCACCAATATTTTTAAATTGCTTTTATGCTTCCATGAATCTCCTTATATTTCTGAGAAATAACAGTATTTCTTCTATGTATTCAGCAGATCTATCATTCATTGCTGGGTGTAAATTGAGGATTGATTTGGAACAATTTATGAATATTGAGTTAGTGTTTATTGGCTTTGCAGAAAAATTGAATCTTTAGGGGAGGTTTGAATGCAATCAAGATGGACATCTGTCTCACCACTAGCCCAAGCCAGAATCCAGCAGCAGTAGCTAGAAATGCCTCTGGCTTCTAGAAGGCAAGATCCAATATTTCCAAAGCTAAATACCTGCAGCTAAAAATATTAAATGTGTATAGAAAGAAATCTAAATGAAAGAAACTTATTTTTCCTTGGAAGATATGCAACCATCCATGTGTCTCTAGCTTTTCCAGTTGCCAGGCTCCTTTCAAAATTATTTGCTCAAAGTTTTTTCTTCATCTGTGAAGCCTATTTCACTCATGTTCTAGGTCTGGAAGGCTATAGTTTGTGGAAGAAAGTTCCCTACCCCTACCTTTTTGGAATGCATACTTCATTGGTTCATGATGGGGATTTCAGGGTATTTTTAAGGTCTAAACCCCGTAAACACATGATTAAAATGAATGGAGGACTTGGGGAATGATCTAGACTTCTTCTGAAAGATCTTTTGGTCTTTGGTTGAATTTATGAAATGAGGCCAAGACTGTGGGTCCCAGAAATGCATGTAATAAAAATGTAATGCTAATCCCAGTACAATATGTCAAGTACACAGTATTTCAGTATTTAATGATTTTGTTTTTTTGTTGCAAAATGCTATTTTGCCATAGCACAAACTCTGCATGTCCATTATCACCATCTCTTCTTTAGCACTGGCTTTATGCCACTGAAATGTGGTTGCTCTTCAAATCTTAAACTACAGTGTTAATGATTTTAATGGCCAATTATGCATAAAGGATACAATAAAAGATAGAATATCACTGTGATGATGCTATAAAATGTGTTGTTCTTCTGCCAGTATGCAACAGAAGATTAAATCCATGTTAAATTGAGCTTGATTTATGGTGACCCCAAGAAGCTAAATAATTACTTGCATTGGAAAGTAATTTTTTTATAAAACTGTGATATTTGGGTAGCAATAACCTACAATATTTTTCATCTCCAGTTGTGGAAGAACTGTGTGTACTTTTGGTTCGACCTACAGGCTTATCATCAGCTTTTTTACCAAGAAACCCTTCAGCCTTTTCAAATACGCCAGCAAGCTCAAGTAAGTTGTAAAAAATGTGGTTTTCTTTCAAAAATACATTTATTCATTCCCTTCACAAATGCATTTGTTCTGTATAAAGACTGAAAAGAAGATAGAAAATAGAAAAGTTTCCAGAACTTGACAACCCACACCAAAGTAAATCTGTGTTGTGGGCAGTAAAAGAAGCTCTTTGGATAGTTTCCATGGAATTTCTTGATTCAAACGTTAAACATGCATAGTTTGATTTCCAGGCTCTGCAGCCTGTTCCCAGTTTTATCTGTTATACTCAGTTTACCTAAACTCCCCTTTGCTACACTGAGTCATATTTGGAAACTGTCTGCTTAGTGTTAACATCAGACATAGTATTTTTTCTAAACCAACTAATTGTGCTGTACCTTTCCTTCCATCTCCTGTGTGGGTTAGAATTGCATATCTCATAGTGCGTGCTTGCCACAGTGCAGATCTCAGATAATGACCTCAATAATGAAAATTGATCTTTGTTAGCCCTGATGATTGTCAGGTCATCATTATTATCTTTACTATGGTTATCATCCCCTGAATAGATCTTTAGACCCTCACTTAATGTTAAGTGGAACTGATATTTCCTATAAAAGAGTATTTTAATTGAGCATGCACTTAGCCCACAGTGGTGCTTCAGCACAGTGGTGCTGAAGGCAGAGTAGATTGATTCCATCAGGGAAAGAAACTGCAATAGTGTGATATAATTAGAAGAACTATGAGAAACTTTTAAAATCACTTTGTCAAACTGTGGTCTGATTTTCCTCTCTAAACCTTTTGTAGGAGTATATCCTTTCCACATATTTCAATATATACTGTAATAGAGCAAAACTACTTCACATATCATTGGAACAAATATCTGTAGAGGGCAGGTGAGAGTAATCTGTATATATTACATGTTCCTGAGCATCTGGACATCCTTGAATTTGTCTTCTTTTTTTTCTTGGAGGTTTTACTGTGGAAATAATAGATGTTTGTATATTTATCCAGAATTCTTATCTGAATCAGTTTTATTTGTACAGAAACTCCAAGCAGAGGCCAAGGCATGGATTCCTCCCTCTCCTGTCTCATACTGGGTAAATGGAACTGTTACCCTGTTTAGTTCTTTTCCCCTCCAGCTCTTTTTATGGACTCAGGCTGTGGGCAACTGAATGTCCCCTTAAGTCTGTCTCCTGCATCTCTCCATGCCTGTGTGTGGCTGGGGACCTCCTCACAGCAGATGCACAAGCTGACTATATCTATTCTGTGTCACCATTTTCCTATGTGCTTTATTACAGGCCAAAGCTTACCTTATAGTCTCTGATGGTTTTCATTTTGGTTTCATTTCACACCAGTTTACATTCTTTTTGTAGTGGTTGCATGGCTAAAAATTTAAGGCCCAGGTCTTTTTTACTAATCTTATTTCCAGTGCTGGCCTGGTGGTGACAGCAGAACATCGTACAATCAGTGTTACCAGGCAATTGCAGACAGTACATACACATAGCCATGAAAGTAAATACATCAAAACTAAATATGTGAAACTGTTCCATTAGCATAACTAACAGCTGAAATGTAACATAACAAATCAACACATGTGCTGTAACATTTGGTATCATTCTCAAGCTTGCCTTTTAAGGCTGCAGAAAAATTATACTTGTTTTCATTGGAACACTGTAAAGAGTCAAGCTGCAACCAATCTACAGTCTGCTTACAGAAGGGATGCCTTCCCAAATTCTGCACTCACCTTTGGCACAAGAAGACAGTCACTCCAAAGACTCCTGAGAGAATGTGAATCAGATTCACAGGACATATTGTCATATATATTTTACTATTTATTACAGAAAGAGACATGTAGAGACAGAGTGTTCCATATGTGTGCTGCCTCCTTCCTGTTAGAAACAAGAACAAACCTTGATTGCTGTGTATCTGCTACTCATTGTTTCATTTGTTAAGCATTGCTATCTCAGCTTTATGATAGAGTAATAAAATGCTTTCCAAGGTATATATGCATTCACCTGTGGAAAGAAACTACAGTTGAAATCTGATGGATAAGAATAATGACAAGTATTGGTAATCATAGAGGAACATACACAGTTATTCACTGCATTCACTGTAAATATATGCAGACTAGTGTAAAAAATTTTGAAAATAAAACCGATAAAGAAACATAAAATGTTGGGGCTTAATTTTTAAAAAAGTTATTTAGAATTATAAAACTTAATACAATTGTGAGAAATACAATGTTTTAATGCTAGAATCAATTTAGATAAAGGGAGTCTTCCTTGCTGTGGACTTTTAGGGTCAGATATAAGATTTATGTTAGTGGGAAGTGATGATGGAGGTTAAGGCAGTTTAGCCTCCCTGTTTAACACCAGCCAGTGCATTGCATGCTTCCATCATATGATGCTGCCAAGCAGCTGCACAAGGCCCTCATTTAGATCAGAGCAATATCCATTCCTTTGGGCAGCAGTACAAAGCATTTGGACTTAAATCTTTCTCACATTTCTTGCTTCACTCCAGTCATTCTGAAATTGCTTATCAAAGCCTTCTCATCTGGGGATGAATTCACACCAGAACCCAAGGCCTGTACAATCCCTGATTTGGAAAGTCATAAAATGAGGCCAAAGTCTTAATCTGAATTTTCTAAGCATTTTGTATAATCATGTTTGTGCAATTGTAATTCCAATATGCAAACTGACCAAATTTCCAGATAAGGTTTTGGGTTCCATCCATCACATATTTACATTTATAGGTGCATTTATAGCTGGCACTTAGAAAATATCTTGTGTTTTTCAGTAGGAAGAAAAACTGAATCAACAAGGTTTGATATGCACTTAATATGCTTCAGATTTTTATATGAATTTGTTAACCTGTAAGTTCATTTTATGTAATTTTTCCTGTTCATCCCTTAGGAGATTGACCAATATAACGGTTTCAATATTCCACTGAGAATGAGAAAACCGCAGGAATTCCATGACATGGGAATAAAAAGAGGCTATGATTATTACTTTTTATAAAATGTATCTTTCAAACTGCATTGTCCAGTAAAGGTTGTGAACAGACACTTTTCTTCTTTTTTGTCATGTCTAGAATTCTTCTCAGTTGTTTTTCCTGCAGTCCTTGCAATTGAATCTGTGCAGATCTACAGATGCACTTCAACTCTGATGCAAGGGACAGAGGGATGAAAGCTACTACTCATTTCTCTGCCAGCTGCAAGTGCATGTATTCACTTACTTGGTCAAATACCATTGCAATGGATTCTTACGAGAATTTAAATAAAAATATGCTAATTCTCTGACACTGTAAATGTGCATCCTTCAAATTAAGAGGCCATAATGATTACACCACTGAGCATCCGGTTCTTTGAGTTTGGAAAAGTGCATTCCTCTAGCTAGCTTAACCACCTCTAAATTTTTGCTTCATGTGTATTGCCAGCCCTAACTATTGGATCTGGAGACAAAGATCTGTCCTTATTATTTTCTGGTTTTGTATGTGAAATTATAAAGAACTGGAAGCAGCTCTGCAGGTAGAGCAGCCTACAAAGACAGTTCCTAATGTGGCAATATATTACAACAGTGATTGTGCGAGCAGATTGTCAGTAGCTTTTGGTCAACACTTCCTAGTCTGGACAATTTCTGACTTGGTAGGCTGATATTTTTTGCCATCTCTAAAGAAGAGTATCAAATATACTCAATTTAAAAAAATCATAAGGGAAGGGAATTCCAGCCAAGAAAAGTGGTGTGTTTGTTTTTATTTTATTCTTAAAACTATGCTCAAATGGTCACTTACTTAAGGAACCAGGTTAATTTGTGCTGAAATATTGAGGACATATTTTTGAAGCTTTTTACTAATTTACAGATCCCTTGTGTGGTAAGTTGTAACAGGTAGAGCAATGTAGTCCTAATGACAGCTGAAATGGTTAACCCCTTTTTAAATATGCTAATTTAAAGATACCACATCTTGATATCATTGGACCTTGCCCTTCTAATTTGGCTAAATTTATACATTAAATGTTTTGGATCTGACTTAACATGATTTAACTGAAACTTTCCTAGTGTTAGAGCTCTTCAAAGTAACTTTCAACTTTTGAAATCACTGTGAATCTAATTAAAGCTGTTAAATTTAAATGTACTTAGGGATCTACTGAGAGGGGTTTAATTTTGGATAAATGTGGTCTAGCTTTTGGGTAAGGCTCTTCCTATGGATGTTCTATTTCTCTTACACCTTGCACCTGCATATTGTTACTGCACTGATAACAGTAGGCACAAACCATTATTTTGCATAAATCCTGCATACACAATAAATACAGTAATCATAACAAGAGCTAACTGGGGGATGGATGTCAGCCATTGTAGCCCTGTATTCCTCTGTGACCTAACACCAGGAGAATCTAAAGGGTTTGTTTCAAATTGTAAAGATCCAAAATAATGGGGATATACTCTATTACTGTTGCTATTTGACAGAGAGAGTCTAATAAATCAACATTTAATTTAAAACAAACAGAAACATAGTTATTTAATGTACTCCAACATTCTCTCCTTGTGCTTGAAATCTAAGCACACCAGTGTTTTATTACTGCTTGAACACAGAGTAAACATATTATTTTCTTCTCTTCTATTGCTTTACAGCTGGATTTTAGCAAAATAGGGAAAATGAGAATTATAAGAATTCTAAATTCTTCATTGTCAAACCTGTGTGATAATAAATAGTGAAAATGGACTTGTCAGTGCTATCCTAGAGAAAAAATCTGATTTTTGCTGCTAATCTGGTCCCTGACTGTATCTTTGAAATATAGTTAGACTTTCACAATATGAAGATGATAAAATATTTATAATTATATGAAATATATTTTGGCAGCATCTTTTTTTACTTGAGTTTCTAGCTGAAGTCAGAATCATGAAGTTTTAGAAAGCTATTATGGAATATCCTCTTCCAAGAGATATACCTGGGGAAAAAAGTGTTTTACTCTGAGTTTTCTATGTTCATTTTCATAGCATCATTAACAAAAAATTTAGAAAACAAGGTTTTTCCTTAGGGGTTTTTTTTAAAAAAAAAAATTACTCTGTGCTTCAAGGATGAGCTGTTAGGGAGAAGGAAATATCCTCCAGGTTCAGTTTTCTGCTCCTTGTACATATGAATGGCAAACTTGGTGCTTCAGAAAAGAGGCATGTTGTGATTCTTGGTTTGGTAAGGGCTTAGACCTTACCTGTGCAGTGTTATCTTCTGCATGGATCCTGTACAGTAATAAGAGTTTCACCATTGTCAAAAAACTATCAAAGAGAACTTCCACACAGAATGAAATAGTATCATTTTTCATTAATTTTAACCTCAAATTTACAAATTACATCTCTTAGAAGAAGTAAGATACTTTCATTAATTGGCCCAGCACATATTCTGCAAAACAACATTGTGACTTCAAGAGAAGTTCAGTTGGTGTAATAATTGGTTATCTGAATCTACGTATCAGCCAAATAGATCCAAGTGAAAATTGCATTAACCATTTTAATGAGTAAGAGTAAAAATGGCAGGGGGATTCATTACATCAGTAACTGAATTTCGGACTGATCCTAGTTCCGAGCATACAGCAGGGCAGTGGGGGACAAATATGCATTAATTCTCTCCTTCAGTGGTCTGTGACCATTGAAATGTATGATGGCTAAGATACAGTTTTCTTCTGTTTTATTGTAGTTCCTTTATGCAACTTACATTGCTCCATCTGCCAGTATGGACACTGGACTTAATCAGAATAAGAAAAATAGGATTTATCAGAAAATTGACCCAGCTTTTGAGGACCTTTTTGACCCAGCAGAAGAACATATTCTCACTGTCCTGCTGGAACCATGGATGAAGATGGTGGAAGAAGATAAATACACTTACAGAAAGGTAGTATCTGGATGACATCATGAAAAAATCTTAGGGAAGAAAATCTCAAGATCATTCATATGCAACCCTGTTGTGTTTATACTCCAGAAGAGAGAAGTATTACAAGATGTTTTTCTTACTCCTTTCTGTCCTGATATGTAGAAATAGGCTGAGCTTGTGGAGAGCAGACTTCACATCTGAAAGGAAGGTGTGGGCATCATAGACTCCTTGGCCTGTGAATTGGGGAGAAACACATCTTGCTATGGTAAAATTTATCTTTGCACTCAGGAATTTTCATGTTTCTGCAATCAGAAATAATTTTTTATGATGGATTGCCCACAAACACTCTGTATTTTTAATTATAAGCACATAGGTGTTTTTTTAGAGTGTCAGTGCAGTGACAGTAGGTATTTCTGGTGCTTAGAATTTAAGTGCTACTGCTTAGCATAGAGGAAATGTGATATGGTGATTCAGCTGTATTTGCCCCAAACACTTTTTAGATTGCTGCTCTAAAAACGTGGCTCAGAGGTGTATTCAGTTCTAATCCCAAAATGTTCTGAAAGCTTGAATTGAGCATGCTCATGGAGGTCAGAGGAGATGGCTGCAATCCTGACTGTGCCTCTGACAAATAACAAGAAACGGTGATTACAGTGGTGGATACTGTGGCTCTCTGTTCTTTGTAAACTTACCTACAAGTTGCTAGCTGAAGGTCAGACTCCTTCTGGGTGCTGCAAAATGAGGAAGATACAAAGCTATTGGAAAGTGTCCAGAGGATGGCTATAAAGGTGGTGAAGGGCCTTGAGGGGAAGCCTACAAGGCCTGAGGCCACTTGTTCAGCCTGGAGAGGAAGAGACTGAGGTGGTCTACAACCACCAGTCTCTTCTCTGTGGTGCCCACAGGACCCAAGGGAATGGCCCGAAGTTGTGTCAGGGGAGGTTTAGGTTGGATATTAGGAAAAGTTCTTTCACCCACAGGGTGGCTGGGCACTGGAGCAGGCTCCCCAGGCCAAGCACCAAGCCTGACAGAGTACAAGAAGTGCTTGGACAATGCTCTTGGGCACACGGTGTAACTCTTGGGGATGGTGCTGTGCAGGATCAGGAGTTGACTTAGTAATTCTTGAAGGTCCCTTTAACTCAGGATACTCTATGATTCTAATTTCAAGTCTTTAGCATCTTTCTTTTGGCTATAGAAGGAGAAACTTACAGTGGAAAATCAGGAGACTGAGGGCAGGAAGTTAGTTCTTGTTCCTGTTTTTCTTCACTATGACCTTAGATGAAGCATCTCTGATTTATATGAAATATCATCACTTACTGCTGATACTTCTGTTTGCTTGTAATAACATTCCCACGTTATCCCCTGCAAAATATTTTGAAATCTGCTTTTGCAAAAGTTTTGTAGTACAAGTCTTATTTTTGGTTCTATATCATGCATGAATGTAAGAACAACTAGATGAATTGATACCTAAAAGCAAAGTTGAGAATGGTCTTCTAGCCAGCATTAAATGTTTAAGAACAGAGTATAAGAACAGAAAAGAGACTTTTCATAGTCTTTGATGAGATTTTTTTCCCCGTGGGTTTCTGTAAAATGTATCTTGAGTGATGTATCTTCAGTGTCACTGTAGAAGTGGGTTTCATGGTTTAGTCATGCAATAGGAGAAAAAAATGCATATCTTAATTTGTTTGCAAATGCCTCCCTGATAATTTCACCTCATGCCCTAGTCTTGTGTATCACAATGAACAAGTGAACAATTATTATCTTGTCCTATTCTCAATGTTGTTATGCTTTTACAAGTTTCTGTTATATCTCACTTTAATTAGATCATCTTGAAACTCAAGAGTTCTAGACACTTTGGCCTCTCCTCCTACAAAAGGTGTTCCATACCTTTGTTGCACTTATTGCCCCATCTGTGTGTGTTATTTGATAGTCTTTTGATGAGATGCAAGCACTACTCAAAGTCTGGATGTACTAAGGATTATCCAGTGGCAGAACCATGTTTTCTGTAATGCTCTTTGTCCATTCCTAATTGTCCCTATCATTCTAATTGTCTTTTGACTCCTGGTGAACTTTGAGTGGATGTGCAAAACGTAACCTAATAGCCATCTGCAATGATTCCAAGATTTCCTTCCCAAGTAATAACTTCTAATGGAAAGCCCTATTTTGGAGCTCACTGGAATGACTTAATGTTTATTATCATTGAATTCAGCCGGTCTTTTATCACGCAGATGCTAAAGTGTCCTGCTATCCTGCAGTTTTTCACAGTCAATTTAATTTTTTACTTCATGGAATCATTTTGCAAACTTTGTTGTCTCCTCACTCACCTCCTTTTCCAGATAGTTTCTGAATGTTTAAAAAACAACCTCAGTGCAGGTCCCTGTGAGACTCCAATAGGAACCCCACCCCATAATGAAAGTTATTTATTTCTTTGGTTTTGATTTTCTACCTTCTAGTTAATTCGCAAGGGGACTTTCCCTCTCATCCTGTGATAACATAATATTCTTTAGAAGTTTTGAAACTTTGAGAAACTTAGTGAAATGAAATATAGTAATCCAAACACATCTGTAAAATATTTTCTTTGCTTTTCAACATCTTTTCTAACCTTTCAGATAAATTATTTTTTCTAAACTATTTCAGCTATAATTCTTTATGACCTGCAGTGCACCTTGGAATTGATTGATACTTTTCACGAATCTGAAATTTTATGTAATTTCTATTAGACTAATTTTAGTCTTTTGTAATTGTGTATTTTCTGTGTGTACTATCTGTAAGAGTTGTCTAGTGTCTACTGCCGGTCCTCCCTGAGTCAAATCATCAACACAGCCAAGAGTTCTCATACATTGTTTTTACATAAAAAAGAGTCTGCTTTAGAGCTCTCTGTTTTCACTGCTTCTAGTGCAAAGTAAGAATTGAAGAGATATGCTTTTCCTTGCAGTTAATATGTGTGTCAGTTTATATCTCCTTGAGTTAACCGCAGGATAACCTATTGTCCTTTCAGTTTGGAGGATGCGTTACTTTGCAAGTGAGGTTACGTGCAGACTTCTCAGTGCTCTAATAACACAAAGATTTTAATTTGGGCACGAAAAAACAATTAAATCCTTTTGACTGCACAATACAAGTGTTTGTGAAGAATTATAATACACGGACATAAAACAACCTGTTCTAGGAGGCACTACAGTCTCTTTGTACTAGGTGCAGGCTGATAGTTAGGCACACTCCTTCCCAAGCACAAAGACAACGTCTGCTTTGTATTTTGTTCAGTCCCTGGCTCTACTCTTCCCCTTTGTTCTACTCTATATCAGGACTTATTTGGCCCATAATGAAACAAGATATTATATCAAGAATTAGGTGAGTCCAAAATTGTTCAGTTGGGACCTGTTCAATATATATAGTTTTTTCTTTAAATGAAACATGAAATCAAGAGAGTTTCTTTTTACTATTGACTGTCATTCAGCCTCTATCTGCTTTCTCTTTAAACCTTATGAAAAATGTTCTGAATTATTATTTTACTATTTAATTTTAAACTATACTTTCTTTTAAGGGAAAGAATAGCCCAAAGCACTTTATAACAATGGAATAAAGTTACATTGAGCTTGAAGACATTCAGATAACACAGTGATTAGTGTGGTATTCACATTTAGATGGAAGTATCATGAATATTAATCTAAACATTCTCATCTTTCTCTGGCACATAAACACTTGTATAAGATAATCACAGCTCTCTAATCTTTGTAAAGGATATGCAAATCAGTGTACGGCATTGGCTCGATTTTCCTAAATATCCTAAAATCTGCACTGAAATAATTTAGTCAGCCAGGAGGGTCACCAGATAGCTCTTTCACAGTTACTGATTGTACATAACACGAAGAACTGTACTAGCTACATACGGCTTCTAATTAAGTTAAAAAATGCCAACTTCATGAATTCAAATCACACACAGTTAATATTAAGAAAGGGGACAAGACTGAAAGTCAAAAAGCTTTCATCTTTATTGTTTAGATATTTTAACATCTTTCTCATCTTAAATTTCTGTTTCTCCAAATCTGTGGCACTCTTCTTGACATTTCCCTCTTAGAGTCCCAGTTTCAAGAAATGATTTTCTGCTTCTCAGTGGCAGTTTGACATAAAATTTGCTGGTATAGGTAATCAGGTACGTCTGACCCAATATACACCATATAATATATGCACAATATACATGATATACTATGTACACATGAAAATTTAGCAGTTTTAAAAATAAAAGTTATTTGCCTAAAGTTATAGTTAGGTTATTTAGTAGTATTCTGTAGAAATCTGCATCTGATCCTACACAGATGTAAGAAGTTTTTTCTACCAGAGCTAGATTTTTTTGTCATAAGAATGTGACTTCTTGTGTCTTTTAAACATCAGTCTCATTACTGGCAAATGTATGCTTTTCTATCCACTGTCACTGGCAAAGTGCCCATGTAGTTCTCCGTTTTTCTATAATGTGTACTGTAGGGGTGATACAAGATATTATTTTTATTAGGTGGAGTTGGTGGAAGAAACTCAACAGCTGGACTCCGTGTACTTTAGAGAGCTCCAGGCTTTGCATCAAGTGAGCAGTTCCAAGAAGGATGAGGTAAGATAAGTACCTATTAACAAAAACAAACCCTTTCTCTGTCATGGGGGGAATCACACTTTGAGTATCAGCAATGAAAAGCTGACCAGATGCTAGTTTGGAGAAGCAAATGGTCTGATTTCTACCATTCATTTTGAGAATGATTGACAGCCATTGTGTTGATTGGATACACAGGTCTTCTGTCAGTTCCATCAACATCAGACCTAAAGTCTGTGGAAGACCTAAAGTCTTTAGGCCTCAACTCCTGAGTAAATGTCTCCATTTCAAGTGAATTACAGCTATACCTTGGATCATTTGATTATGAAACCTGCAGACACTGATATGTTTAAGCAAACATAAAAGTAAAACTTACTAAGAGCTGGAGCCTTAACTCAATTTATTTTCTTAGTGATTATAAAGCTATTTTAAAAAGATAGGTTATCTATTGCAAGGATTATTAGACTGAGCAAAATACAGAGGTGAAAAAAACAGTTATGCAAACAAAATAATTTCTCCCCTCAGAATACTGTTGCTGACACGGGGGCTCTCAAAGAAGATCACCGCTTGCATCAAGCTCCCAAAGAATTGGCAGGTCCTAATCTGTCTGACCTGATCCATGACAAAGAGAAGTTAGAACAGTTCCAGGCTTTTCTTAATAAGCATTCTGCTAGGTACGTTTCTTCATTAATATTATTTTACTTGTTTCTAAGTTCAGAAGAAATATTTGCTAATGATCTTGGCTATCTAAATGTTGACAGATTTTAGTATTTTAAAAAATGTTTTTGCATATTTATGAAACACGCAGACACATTGTTCAGACAACTGAATTGTCTTAGCATGTTTGGGGTAAAAATTCTCCTGTCAAGACATATTTGTATTACAGTTCTGCTTTCAGTTTCTGCTATGATTAGTGGCAAACTCCTGACTAGAACAACTAGGCTATAATGAGTAAAATTTTCTTTTTTTTAGTACAGATTCAGTTTAGTACATTTTAAAAATTAAAGCTGGTTATTATAAAAATGTACAAATAGAAAACAGGCATGTTATTCTCACAGTGTGATAGCAACCACAGTTTTGTGTTTGCTGAACAGATTTAAGTACTGGCTTTTAGAAGGTACAGTTAGGCAGAGTCTTTGAAAAGGTGAGCCTTGTTTGTTTTAAAAGTAAGATCTGAACAGAAACTGACACTTTTTCTTTTGTCTTTAAATTGTCACTTTCTTCCTTTGATCTGGCTTCCCATGAGTTGATGCTTGGTATATTGGCTGTTGCTTCTAGTCAAGCACTGCTGAAGCTTTACATTGAATATTGGTCAGCTTTTTCAAAACTGCCCAGAAAGGGGCATCTGGCACAAAACTCCTCTGGCCAAGGCTCAATGTCATCACTCCTGCTTATCATCACATAGGTTCTCTTTGTAGTGAGAGAGAAATACACACTTCTGGGCACTATATTCTGAATGTAAAATCTAAAACCAATTTGGATGAATCATTCCTAAGATTACTGACTACAAAAGGACTGCAGATAATGAGTTCAGATGGAAATTCTTATGGTATAGCTGCTTATAGTCTAGTGACTGCTGAGTTAGTTGTCTAGAGCAGTGGTCTCCAAACTTCTTGCTCATGCATCTCATCAGTAAAAACTTTTTGAGCATGGAACACCAGTGTGTGTATATATATACATTTTTTAATATGTTATATACATGTGCAAATTAAGTTTTAATATTTTCTTCCTGCCCCTTAACAAATATTCTGGCACACCCCCTTCACACATTGCAGTTGAGAGACCACTAGTCTTGAGTTTCTCTCTAAGTGGGAAAATGGTAGGAATCAGCAGATAGTAGGTCATGGACAGGTACGCTGAATTACCTCTGGTATTTCCTGCTTTGTTAATCACAGACAAGTCTCATCTTAAGTGGTAGAGCCAGGCAGAGAAATGTTTAATTTTTGAAGCTTTAATTTTTTAAAAATAAACCTTCATAATGAAGAAAAACATTTGAAAAAGTCTCACAAAAGTGTTTTAGGGCTGAGTCCAGACTAGTTACTCTGGAGTACAGCTGGCATGCTACAGTAAAGGTGCTTAATGGTACTATAAGCTGAAGGGATCCTAGAACTAATGCAGTCTGGAAAATTTCAGAAAAAATCAATGAACACATCATTTGCCTTTTCATCAAAACTTATGGTTCTGATAATGTCCAATTGTAAGTGGCACAGGCTGCTGAATACCTGTGCACAAATTCTGGTAAGAAACTAAACAAAGCTCCATTAATTAATACTTTGTTAAATATATAGGATATATTCACACAATTGTAGGACAATTTGTGTTACTTCAGGTTAGTGAATTATCGCTTGTTAGTCTTGCCAGGCTAATTGACTATGGATGTGCTTCTAATCCAGTATGCCAGGATAAGATACCACTAAATGGTTTATCTAACACACTTGAAGATTATATATTTTACTTTTTAAAAAGATGCACATATTTGGTCAGTTGTCATAGGTAGATGCCATGGAGTTATACCATAAACCACAGTAACTTGGATCACTTGCATTTGGGTGAACTTAGTCATGTTGTGATGAACTAGCAAATGAAAGAATTTCAATCTCAATAGAACTTAGGGTTCTGTAAGGATCTCAAAAGACTTTTGAAAGAAGAACATCTGTTCTTAAATCAGTCAGATGCTTTTGAACATGCTACTCATAGATTAATGTTTTGAAAAAGCCAGTTATTAACCAAATGGAAAACTGGAACAGATTTGTCTGAATTCAGTGTTTCATATTTCCTGCTGCAGATACAGTGAATGTACTCACTAAAATGTTCATGTAATTTCAGCTAATAAGATACTGTCAGAAAATAGTCAAATAAATTAAGCTGAAATTGCAGATATGTCATTTACTCTGTTGTCTGGTTTAGAGAACAAAACCATTCTATGATTCTATGAAAACAAACTTAAATTTATATTTTGCACTCAAATATTATGGACAATATATAGATTGAGAATTGCAACATTGAAATGATTTGTCACTGACTATGACTAATGAAATAAATAGTAGAATTGGAAAATTATGAGAAAGCAGACCACAAAAAGCCCTAGAAACAAATTTTGCCATTAATTGTTTTTATCTGCTCAGCTGCAGACTGACTTAAACTCTAGCACTTCACACAGGCAGGAAGGGGGTGATTTCTTGGGCTGATGTTCCCAGCTGTCATCCCTGCTCCTTTCTCAGGCAATATAACAAGGAGGCAGAGCAGGAGGCATCACCTCATCTCTCAGGGGCTCACAGCCTCAGTACTGATTCAAATTCTATTTCACTCTTCATTCTCTTTGTGAGCTCCGCATAATAGTTCTGATCCACAGTCCCTGCTGGATTTAGCAGTGGCATATTGAGGAGGTTATTCCTTTCAGGGTACCCCCAGATGGCACCCTAAGTGAGATGTCTAAGATGTAAGTTTGCTCTGCCTGTTCAGGAAGTATGATGGTCTCGCTGATGGTACTAGCAGAGAAAAAATTACATAAAATTTCAGCACAATCTGACATGGTATTTCGGTCTTGAATACTTTGGAATGGTATGGTTGTGGTTAAACTAGTAACTCCTTAGAATGTTGATGAAATTAACTCAATATTGAAATAACATTCTGTTTAAATTTGTTTGTAGCATGGATCTCATGTGCTGGCTAGATATTGAAGAGTTCAGAAAGATGCTCCAAAAGGATAAAGAAAAAAGTGATGAAAAATCTAAAGACATTAGAACCAAGTACTTAAACAACAAGTACTTCTTTGGACCAAACAGCCCAGCTACCAGAGAACAAAAAGAAAAGGTAGCAGTTACAGAGCCATTCATAAAGAACAATCACTGTGACTGTGATAAAAATCCACAAGTGGGTCTGCTCCAGCTTTTCCTCAAGCTATCTCCTCAAATCTTACCTATATTTTTGGCCAGAAATATGGTTCTATTCTGTTTGTATAGGTCCTTTCCTTCCTTCCTGTTCAGGCTTTTCCTCTCTTCCTCTTACAGAATATTTCTCCTGAACTGTGATCTGAGGCCACAGCCGGAGTATGCACAAGATAGCTCAAAAAAAGTGTAAAAATTACTTTCAGGCACAGTGACTTGTTCCAGCTTCCTATTTTAGTATGTCAGTAAAGCCACAGACAGCAAGTCTGAGCTGTGGTGCTCTGATATATCTTGATACTTAGGCAATTTACTTGGTCAAGCTGGGGTATTATTCACCAGAGTCTGTATCCTATTATAGGTAGGGATAAATATAATCTGTTCCCTTTTATGAAAAGTACATGTGAGCCTTGGGTAAGCATGAATTAAGTGCTTTGCTTACAGTTAAGCTCATGCTTTGCTAAATCAAGGATGCAGAGAGATAAAGGACTTTTGGTATACACAAACGTTTATGTCATATGTTATTGTATTTGGATTGCTTAGCTAATGCACTCAGGTGGAGGAAGGAGACAAAGCCTTCATGATCAATTTTCGGCAGCAGTTCTGCTAGAAGTTCAGCAATGTGTCCAGAAGAGATTAGAAAAACAATGGCTGCCATTGTTCCTGGCAGATGAACACCTTGGGGCAGAGGAGCAAGCAAAGGTAATTTTTTAACAACAATAACACATACAGACATTATTTTTTGTTTGGCTCATAATTTACCATTGGAATAGAAAGGTTCAGAGGAAAAGCAGCCCATAATTTACTTTCAGTTACATTGAAAGAGATGCTGTAGCATGTACAGGTTGAAACATTTGTCTTGGTAAGTGTGAAGGCAGTTCATCTGAAGGCTTAGTTTAGCTGACAGTATTGTTGTTAGATACCAAATCTGAAGCAGCTGGTGTTAGCTCTGCTGCCATCCAGGCTGCCAGGAGAGTGACCTAATTTTTGCTGTACTGCTACACTCTCCCTATGCCATTTTGCCTTAGCCTTACAGTTGCACACTGAAGAAACACTGCTTTGTGTAATGGATTTTTTCCAAAGGGACCAGAACACAAGCAAATGAGTGAGCTTCCCATGCCATAATTCTTTCTCTTATGCTGTCTACATTCTTCCATCTGGAGCTGCAGTGCCTGTAGAATCAACTTCAGAACTTGTGAAATTCTTGAGTGGGGAGGTTAACTGCTACAAGCCTTGCTCCAATTGGTTACTTCAGAAAGTTGCCAAAAAGCTGGGAGTGAGAAGCCTTTCACTCCTGCTGGTTCATTAGAAAGACTGAGGAATGGGCAGAGCTAACATCTGCCTTTTATGAATGCCTCTGTGGCTGTGATCCATGTAAGGGGATCATCCTGCTGGTGACAGAGGCAAAGACTTGGTGTGTTGCCCTTCCACAGCAGCTCTGACATGTGAATGTCATAGCAGAAGGAAACTTCAAAATTCAACGAAGCAGCGACATGCAACTGCATCGATTCATGAAACTTGTTTTCTATCATCTTTGTAACATCATGAAGCTAGTCAGAAGTGTTAGAAATGCATGTAAATGGAATCTTTTCCATTGATTCAGAGCACTAAGCAATCTGAAAAGTATAGGTTTTAATAAGAAAAACTGTAATTTTAACAATTATTATGTTAAGTACATTTTAAAAAATCCTAACCCTCTGCCTTTTTTAAGCTGAACTCTGCCTCCTTTACAAGCCCTGGCAGAAGACCAATGAGGTTAAGCTGCTTCCAGGTCAGGAAGCTAACTTATGCCTCTTTTTGCACCTGCTGCACTGTGTTAGCAGGGAGATTAGCCCAAGTAGTTTAGAAAATGCTGTATTCAACTCAAAAAACCAGTTTACAGGAAAGACATACTTCTAATGAACTTTTAGTCTTTCCCTAACTCTATTTATGTCCAATTGCTCTTTTCTCTTTCTTATTGAAAATTCAGAGGATGAAAGGATTCTTTGAAGAAAGTATTTTAGAAGAAGTGAAACCAGATGACATTCTCCACTGGCTTTATATTTCACAGTGACAAAACAGTGTGGGCATGCTATGGAGTCCTTATTCAGGAAACCTACCCTTTGTTTGAGGTGTAATTTAGCTACAAAGAAGTTGCAGGATCAAGTCTGTGTTTCTGATACAGCTGTACAAAGGAACTAAAATGATTTCATATTTTAAAAAAGTCAAACCCAAAGTTTATTCATCACATAAGTGATCCCTCAGAACATTATGGGTACAGTAAACTCCAGTACCAGTGGAGTGCATAGTTTGACTGTTATTGCCTCTGGTCTTCTCTAATTCCCCAGTCTTAATGAGCAGGTACTTATTTATAGCTGAAGAAGAGACGTCATTCTGTGTGAGTCCACAACGAGTTGCAGACATAAAATCCATAAGAAGACACATAAACTATTCTGCCACTGGGTTTTTAATCATTAAATGGCTAATTAAAAAAAAAAATAAAAAAATTGAATAATAATCTTTTGTTCAACTATAGATAAAGGACATAACTGAACATCTTTCACACAAAGACCAGCAAAAGACAACCAGGATGTGGAAGGTGAGTGAAATTTACTATATCTCTTGTGCCTGCAGATTCACAGTCTTTTTCCTCTGGACCTTGCACACTCTTCACAATTTCCCTGTTGACAGTGTGTGACCCAAATGTAATGCTGTTAAAAGCAATCATGACTGTACTGGTTACAGTTGACTGATTACTCACATTACTCCTGAATTTAGCTCCCTGCTAGATGTTTCTCTCCCTTTCTGTCTGGAGAGGTCATACTTGAAAATAAAGGTCTCTTTTCCTGGGCTTTGGAGCACTATTAACACTCCTTAAACTAATATTGTACCTCTAATTCAAATTTATCTGTATTTTGCATGCAGTGGACTTATTTGGACAAGCTGTTCATTCCAGCATCTGGTAGTTTATTTATTATTGCAAGTGGATTACGTGCAGACACAAAAGGGAATGTGAAGTATGTAGCAGAGTGGGCAGGTTTAATCATATCTCACAGTATCTGTTTAATTTAGAATTGTATTTTAATCTCACAGCACTGAGATAATATCAAATTTAAACTTTCTAAACCTTTGTAATAATAGATTTCATAAGATGTTTGCCAGGTTTTTTTCCTCTTGAAGAGCAGTGAACTTTTTGTGATTGCCAACATACAAGTTGTGTACATTTGTTCAGTTGAACTTTTATTGTCTGTTGAAATCAAACTAGAGACCTGGTCACCAATTATCCATGCAAACCATCAGCACAAAAGGGATGCAGAGTGCATGTGGGTTCTGTTAACTGAGTTTTCCCTTTGTCTGTTTGTCAGGAAGATGGTTATTCTCCATGTTCTGCTTCAAGGTTGTTGACCCATAAAATAAGCAGTGTTTATATAGTGGTATAGGGATGGAATCAATGCTTTGTTCTTCCTTTCATGAAGATGCCCTAGAAATAATTTTTCTCAAAAGTCCCCTAAATTCTGGTCACAGGGAATAGAACATGTTTGGAGAATTGGAGAAGGGCTGAGAAGATCCAACCCTACTGCCTAAACTGAGCTACCTTTATTTTCACCCAAGGACCCTCTGGACAGCCACCACCCTCCTTGCCAGGGTAGGCTGTCACCGCTAGCAGGCTCTGTGACAGGACACTGAGCATAACCCCTATTTTTAAGATAAGTTGCAGAAACCCTTTCAGCTTAGGATCAGGTTAGATTTCCAGGACTTTTGGCAACAACTAAAAATGTTTCTGACTGATGCTCACCATTGAACAGCACTCCACCCCTCTAGGACTTGAAGAGTTTTAAACCACTTTTAGATGGTTTCCATTCATCCATCTGATAACAAAAGGGGGTTGTTTGGCTTGCTCTTCAGCAACAGCACAAGAACTGTTTGTTCAGGAAGGCAGGCCAGCATGAACTTCAGTTCAAACAAACTGTCCCTGCATAAGCCATCTTTCTTTCCCCACCCTTTCCTGGCTGCCTACTGTTGTGTGCTTGGCAGCATGAGGATTTCCAAAATGTCTCAATGACTTTATTTTACTATTGGTAGCTTTATTTCATGGAGAGCAAACTCTCTGGCTTCTGTGGGTGATCATAGCAACACATTTCAGACCTCATTTTGTTGGTGAGATCCCTGTCAGAAGCATTTTACAACTTTAAGCTATGTGGTTTGTGTGTTCCTTTTCCTTTGTTTGCTTGCATACAACTCAAACTGTTCTCTAGAAAAGTAGCCCATTACCATAATCAATAACAAGAGCTGTTTCTATACTTTGTAGTATGCAGTCATATGGTCTAAATCATTGTCAGTCATTTCCTCTCCATCACATCTTCCAAAAAATGTTCCCCAAACCAAACTGGGGAGAAAAAAAAAAAAAAAAAAAAAAAAAAAAAAAGGGAAAAAAAAAAAAAAATAAAAAAAAAAAAAAGGAAAGGAAGAAATGAAACCTTGCCACATTTTATTGTATCCATGTCATAAACTCATAAACTACTGAAAGTTAGGGTCAGTGCAAAGATAAGAATCAGACAGTTTACACTAACTAATGCCTTTGTTATTGCTTTTTGAAACAAAGTTTATTTGGTGCATCTATTTCTTCTTTTGACAGCATGTGGACAATAAGAGTATTTCTTCATCTAGTGAAATTATTGCTTTCCGCAAGGCGCTGTTGGATCCAGTGACAGCAAATCTGTTTCAACGCTTTGTGGCACTGAAGGGAGACCTCCTGGGGAACGGAGTGCTCTTTTGGCAAGAGGTGCAAAAGTATAAGGTATGGTGGTAAAACAGAGCAAAGGGAATAGCATTCAATTTGTAAGCAAATGCATCCATTCTTGCATATTAGGAGAATTTTAATAAAAATATCTATAGGCATTCTGTTGTTCATAGTAAAGCTCTTTCACTGTTTAAACTGTGTTTTTTTGTCAGTGAAAATCCTCACTTCTGAAGAGTAGCTATTCTTGACTCAAATTCATTATCCCTGTATTTATGCTTCTTCAAACTATAGCATTCTGAGTCTTTAAAGGAGCACTGCTATCTTGCTAAGGCCCAGAGTTTGGTGTACATCTGTTGAGCAATAGAAATATGCAAGCATTAAAATGTTCATTCTGTCTTTATAGCTGCTATCTGAATTTGGTAATTTCTCAAAATTGAGGTAACTTTAAAATTCAGTCAAATCTACAGATGTAAAGATGGTATCTATCAAAAAAACCCTATATGTACCATGCAGACCGCAGCTCCCTAGTATTTTGTATAATCAAATTTGACTTGAGCTTGGGACCGAAGTAAAATGTGATGGGAAAAGTCACTGGGGATTATGTCTCTCTCCATATATGTAGTTTTGTGAAATTGCTTGTGTGGGTTGAAACACAATGGAAAACCTCTGGAGTTAAACTTTGAATCACACTGCAGTCTCCTAGAAATATCCTGGACAGAAGGCAAGGACAGCACAGATCTTTCATGTATTCCTCATTCCTTTTGCCTCTGGGATATTCCTGATGCAAAAGTGCTACCAGAGTGCAGAACCTCTCCTTGGCTCCTGAACATAGCCTACATGGATGTGGCAGGCAGGGAGTATGAGATTAGCCAACCTGCTCAGAAATTGGGCTGTAAACACCATTGCTGTTGCAGTAGCACTTGGAGATCCATTGCAGGCATGTAGGTGTACTTTCACTGTTTAATTTTATTAATTTGAATTTGGTGTCTGCTTTAGAAGCTGAAGCTCCTATTTCCAGGGGACAATCTCTCTTCCCCACAAAGGCTCTGATCCCCAGGCAGGGGATCACTGGCTGAAATACTCTCTGGGGGTGCTGCTGGCTCTCTCATGGTTACAGAGTGACTAGTTCAGATTAAACCTCTGGTATGAAGGCACCCGGTGTTCCATACATAAACCCTTTTCTAGATATTTGAAGTTGTTTTGAGACTTGTGATTCTTCATTGCTACATTATGGAGGACATGGAAACTTTCTGCAAATTAATGTGGAGCGTGGTGTTAACTCTTTTTCTTTGTAGAACTTCTTTCTGAAGAAAGCCTTCATTGTTTTTTGTGCCACCCCCTTTCCTGCATTTATGTTAATTTTATTTGTCTTGTTATCCAGAAAAAGTAGAATCTGACCATATTTCTCCATGCGTGCAATTTGTCATGGTTGGCAGTTGATGCTCTTTGTAGAAGCAAAGGGCTGGAGTAGTAGGAGTGTTGTGGGTCAGGCTGAACTGCAGGAATATTGCCAAAGGCGTGGGCAGCACTTTGCACAGTGCATACTTGTATTGTCTGAGCCCTATCATGCCATCAATTTAGACAGAACTCCCTTTAGCTGTCAATGACTGCATCGCTCCCCATAACCCATGAGGCTGGAGACTCATCTTGGGACAATCCAAAAACAAGATTTTTTTTTTTTAGCAAATATGAAGAAACATAGTTCTGTGGATCATTTCCATCTGGTTATCTATGCTTGGTCTCATCTCTCTTCATATTATATGACTTGTTTGTCTTATTACAGCTCTCTGCCTTCTATGCTAGATGAGCGAAGAAAGCCATAATATATATTCTTAGGATATACTGAATATGTTTTTGCATTGCCTTTCTTTATTATAGTTGTTATTATAATTATTTTTTTTTCCTTCCCAAAATTAAAAATATTCATAACAAAGCAAGCCAACTCTTTCACATACCACATTTCTGGTTAAAAGTCATGGTTTCGATTTCTCTGCAAAGTAAATATATAGCCTTCTATACCAAAACTAAATTCAGATTCTTCATTTAAAGAGCTCTCTTCCTGAAAACTCGAGTGCTCACTGTGCTTCTATGATATACATGACAGTCTTCTAGTGTCATATAAATTTCTTGAAATGTATGGATAAAGGGAAAGTTCATGTTTCGAAGTGTTGTAAGGACACTCTTTGAATTATGTTTTCCTCATGTCAAAGTCCAATGTTGGCATCGTCAGGGTGTCAAAACACAATAATAACAGACTTTACAAGAACAATAGGATCATATTTAAAAAGTAGAAAACTCCAATGTTCCTTTGACATCTCACTCCTGTAAGTTCAGGTTTGTTTTGTATTCTATAGTGTACAGAGTTTTTTCAAACCCTGAGGTTTTGGGAAATTAGAAAATCTTAATGAATGGTGAAAGTAAAAGATTTCAAGAAATGGAAGATTGTACTGGTAGCTGACATTGTCCCCTCTTGTGACAACATTCGTGGTTAGAATATCTTGTACCATCTAAATATTTCCCCTCTTTTTTTGGAGCACTTAAAACATTTCTTTATCTTTTAGTTATCATGGCTATGCAAGTCATAGCAGGCTCATTGTGAAAATCAGTGCATTTCACACTTGTAGATGTGTTTCTCTTTTCATAAATGTCTCCTATTTGCCAGTGTGCACTTAAAATCTATGCTGTTCCATTCAAACATACAGGCAGAGATTATCACCTAAAAGCAGTGATTGCTATGCATCTGCATTTGCAAACCAGAAGCCCCATTCATATCTGAAGTATGGTTTTGACCATGCACATTTACCAAAAGAATTTTGCACTGCATACTGAAAAAAATTTATTGTATAATTATTTTTGTTTGACTCTTTGATCAGTGGTGCCCTATAAAAGTTCTTGCCTATGTCTCCATTTGACTGAAAATGGTATTTTTAATCTTTCAGGACTTGTGCCATTCTCATTGTGCTGATGCCATAGTTCAGAAAAAGATCACAGCTATTATTGACTGCTTTATTAATTCTGCCATACCCCCAGCTTTGCAGATTGACATCCCACCTGAACAAGCAAAGAAGATTGTGGAGCGTAGGAAAGAACTAGGACCTTACATTTTTAGAGAGGCACAGGTAAGAAGATGAGTGAATCTGTAATAGATCTGGCTAGGGACTGAGTGCCTGATTTTAAGAACAGTCTTCATTGCTTATGTGACAGTTAGGACTCCACACACAAGCCTGGGCTTGAAGGAGAAAGCTATGGTAATATATATCAATGAATGTAAGGTGGAGATGGAAGAGAGTCTTCAGATATGTACTGCTCAATAAAGAAAATCTCTGACAGCTAGTTGATCCTGGAAAGGTGTTATCCAAGTCTGTGTTACGAATTCTGGCAGTAGAAATGAATTCTATGTTCTTAATTGCTTGTTCTTGGCCACTTGGTTAATGTCACAGAAGTAATTTGGAGTTAGAAAGTCTGTGGTTTTCATGTTTTATGAAAGATGCAGATGTGAGTAAAGCACAAAGACATCTTAACTTGCTGAATGTCTTTCCCTCCTTTATTACAGAAAGCATGTATTAAATGGCTGTAGACAATTTTCTCTCTGATCTTTCTATTAATCAGGTTGACTAGCAATTTTGGAACCTTTACTACAGACTTATTATTTTCTTATCCCTTGATACTGCCTTATCTTCTAAGTCCAAGAAAGTATTTGTTTTTCTTTTCCTATATAATTGCCACCAATGCCTTTAGACATCAACTGTGAGTCCATAAAGTGTTTGGATGACAAGAGAAGAATGATTTCTCAGAGAAAAGGGTTTATATAGATCCTAAGAGAAAGGGAAGTCTTGTTCCAGCCTGTGTAAAACCCAGTGAACCCCAGAAATGTGGCACAAAACCAAAGGAAGAACTAGGCCAGAAAGCTGTGACTGGAACCTGACAGTGGCTCACATGTCACTTTCAAGCCTGTTGAGCCAGAAGCAGTGAGCAGGCTTGGCTCCTTTGAAGCCAGGTTTCTCAATGCAAATTAAATATCTAAATAAATTGAAGAATGTGAGCCTTAGTACGTGCAGCAACAGAATTCACTGAGCCCCTCTGTTTGCTTTTCTAAAATTGTTTTTCTTATTCTAGTTCAAAAACGACCCTGTGAGAGATTATATCATTTAAAAATTATCCAAGATTTGCTCATAGATCTGTAATGTGGTTTAAGAGCCTTTCCAGAGGCAAAAAAGTATTTCCTTTCTCTTAAGGAGGGGGAAAAAAGCCCTCTCCCTAATGAACTGAATATTTGAAATACTTGAGCAGAACAGTGGTGCAAAAGCAATTCTACTAGTGTATATTTTATCAAGAATACTTGTAAAAAGTGATGGATGTTTTCATTAATGCAAACAATTGTTTAGGGAAATATAAAAAAAGAAAGTGCCTTTTAACTGTGTTTTAGGAAGATTTCTCACCAGTAATAAACACACTGATGAAAAGCATGTGCTGAGCAAAGCTGAGCTGAAATGTCAGGACAGAGTACGTGGGAGGAACAAGGCTGTGTGTTCAAAAAAAATAGTTATCTCATTCTGCATTTTATTTTACAGTCAACTGTTTCCTTAATACGGTCAAGATTGACTTTATTTTCTTTCTGCACAGATGAGTATTTTTGCTCTTCTGTTTAAATTTTGGCCAGAATTTTGTAAATTCCAAAGCAGTCCGGAGAGTAACAAAATTCTAGTTGCCTTGGAGAAAAAAGGGGAAAAAGAGATGCAAAAGATGGAAGGGATAACAGCAAAGGTAAGGCTTGTAAAGCTTCAGGTGACCACTGATGACCTAAATAATATGAGCAAAGATACATAAAATAGAATATCCCTTTCCCAGCCTGATCCAAAGCTACCTAATCTTGTTAGATTTCAAGCTTTACATGCAACCCAGTCCTAAGGTGATTAGTTCTCAGTCCTGCCAATACATACATATATGTTGGACTTGAAGCAGGTGAGTCAATGGAATGCTCCTTTCATTATTAACCAGAAGAAAAAATGTATTTTAGTCACCTTTTTTGCCAAGGGAAGAGTGAAAAAGAAGACTACATTAAGAACAATAAATATGTGTACAGTCCATGTGTACTGTGGGCTATTGCAGATCTGTTTGTGCTTTCATGATGTATTGTCTTATATTAGAATTTATGTTCTGGACCACAACTGAAATCAAACCAAACCCAAATCAAAATTGATTCTATACCTGTTTTCCAGAAGGACCATTTGAAAGTCCTGCACATTATTAAAAAACATATTTATGTGATAATTCCTTTGCATAATCTTTGCCTTTTCTTGAATATTTCTCAGCTGTGAAAGTGAAATTGTTAGACCTGTTCACAGCAAGTTTCCAGACAGTTTCAGCACATTAACAAAACTGACCTCTACAATGGAATGCTTGTTTGTAAAATTGTTTTTCTTGGATTTTTAAAATTAATACATAATGGACTTCTTTTTCTATTGATTATAGGCTTTGAAAAAGTTTATTTTTTATTAAATACAATTGTTTGGCAAGCTTTGAGGAAAGAACATTCTTTTAAGGGCAGAGAACTGGACTTGCAAACTATAATAAGTAGCATTACAGAGAAGACCTTTCTGTATTCTAAATACCATGTAGATGTGTTGAGATGTTCCACGTAGTATGAACCACACAGGTATCTGGACAGATAGAGACACAGGCCCATAAGGATGTACATACATTGTTATTCTTTATGCACATGAAAGCTGAGGACCAGTGAAGCATTACTCAAGACCACACACCAATGTCAAGGGAAGTCTAAAATCCAAGAACTCATCTTACTTTCTCCAAAGCACAATGTCGCCATATGCATGTGTCTGCCAAGGCCATTGGCAATACTGATAGTGCAAGAATGCAGTATTTCAAAGTAATAAACTTTTGCATTTTTAGACTTATTTTCCATCTGTTTGTTGCCTGTGTATGAGATTTCTGATTATGATCAAGGAATAAATAGCAAATCTTAGGCAGGAGGGCAAAAGCCTAGCTTTTATGGAGAACAAAGGGGAATGGTGACTTATGCTTCTAAGCAGGGAAATAGAGTAAGAAATTTTAGAAAGTGACAGAGAATGCAGCTTAGTAAACAGCTTGTAGACTATTCTTCTCTTCACCAAAAAAAAACCAAAAAAAACAAAAAAAACCCACAAACCAGTAAACCAGTTACTTTTAAAAATCTCTTAAAAGAATGGGTGCAACACATAATTTTTTCCAATATTTAAAAAATGCTTTTCCCTTTCTGGTATTGTTTAAAGAATTTGCCATTTCCTGTTCTCTTGCCTGAGATTTCTGATCTCTCAGTGACAACATAATTCAAATGATGCAGTATCCCTGAAGGATACTGATAAGATTCATCTAACATGAGAGCAATAGCAGGTTCACTTGTTGGCTTGTGGAAGGTGATGATTTCTTGGCAATGAAAATAAGGACTGTGTTCCTCTGCCCTACCAGGCTCATTGAACAAGAGCAAAGCTCTGGCAAGGGCTAGAAAAAGCTTTTTTATATATATATTTCCTCTCCACCCCACAAATCAGTTGCTGTTTTGGGTTTATGTCTAACAGCACAATCATAGTCCTGGGGAGGAATTTGCTTTCTTCTTTCATTACACGTGTATCCCCAGGGCACTGAATCTACTTGTGCTCACCTCAGTTTTAGAACTGAACAGATAAGAGTTGGACTTTCATGTAGTATAGTGGAAAAAATGGGCAGACAAGGAGCTTTTCACTGAGCAATGATGCATAACTTGGTATTGTTTGACTATCTCAATATTTTTTGTTTGCCTATTTGTTATTTAAGGGGAAAATTCTACCAAAGGCATCCTAGGAATTGAATTTTTCCTTTGTTAGCTGCTAGATGCACATACCACATACTTTCAAATATATAAGTCACTTTTGCAGACTGCCTTGATGCCAGTACTAGTATTTTGTTATATACATGACAACATTTTATCTCCAAAATAGATTTTAGATTTTTTTGCTTTCAAGTGCACAAAATAGCTCTAAAATTTTAGCTTTAACTTACGTTGTAGATTTGAACATACTCTTTCCATGTCCTTAGCAAAGAAAGCCATCAGCATTATTTTCCTTTTCCATGTTTCTGCTATGTCTCTGAGCAATGAGCTTATTTGTTAGTAAGTGGTGTAATGGCATGGGCTCTAAATCCACTATAATATTGATTAATGTATTATGAGAAGTCATTATTAAAGACCTTGCTTAATTCACCATTCTCATTGAGAGAGCCAGCAAACATAAACTGCAGTGTAATAGTATTCACAGTACCTCTGTGTTTGCATTGGCATCCCCATTCCACTAGCTGAGTGTGCCACAGAAGTTACCAAGCCTGTTTCTGCAGAGAAGAGATCAGCATCACACTGCCTGGGCAGTTCTGTACCCAAAAGTCACTCTTACAGGACAGTGGGAATTATGAGGAAGAAAAAGGCACTTAGGGAGCAAGGAAACGAGACAGTGTGATCCTTTTCCAGATTTTTCAAAGACTTGCTAAGTGACTTTGGGAACCATTTTTTTTTATTACTTTCTCACTTGGAACATGGGAGGGTTATAATACTCAGCTCTTAGAGAGACCTCTTTGTGACATCAAATATGAACATCGGTTGATGATTATAAAGAGTTTTAGGATCATCAGACAGAATGTGCAAAGGTGAAACAAACCAACATGAAAATGACAGTTTGTCATGACCAGAGCAGTTTGCCAAGGGTTACAATGCCTTGTTCTTCACTGTAGATTGTACATTGCCTCCTTTCCTAACTTGTATACTGTAGTTCATACACGGCTACTGGACCAACCTGGAATTAATCACAACAAATCCTGCCTTCTACATTTATGCTCAAGGCCAAATTAGAGGCTCTGTTCTTAAAATATGTTCTGTTGAAGATCTGCCCTGTCACCTAGGTATATTTTGGAGCAGGTATTGAATCTGAAAGAAAGATGATCTGCAGGAGTGTAGAGCACAGGGAACATGAACTAGAACGAAGAAATGCTTTAAAAAAACAGCTGCTATTTTAAAATATGCTCAGTGTGATGAATTATGAAACTAAGCATTACAAAACATTACTGAAAATGACACTATCTCATTTCCAATGAAGGTTTTTGGTTCCTCAGACTTTTTTTTTTACTTTAGCTCTGAAATTGTTGTTCACATCTAATTATGAGGTGTTTTTTACAGGGCAAAGAAGCAGGGAAAAAACTCATTAATTTGGCTCAACTTAAGTCCTTGACTCAACCCAAGTCCTTGACTCGACGCAAGTCCTTGACTCAGCCTGAGCCCTTGACTCAGCTTAAGCCCTTGACTCAACTGCCAAGGAGTGTTTTGCTAGATGAGCTTGATGTGAAGAGAAGATCATCAACACTTTTAGCATCTACAGAAGGACATGGAAGGAAGGTAAATAATACATGTTTCTGCAAATATCTTTGAAGAGAGATGAAATGATCTTGGGGAAGGGGGAGTTTGGTTTTGAATACTGTTGTCAGATGGTTTTTCAACAACCATTCTTCTACAATTAGCTTTGCTGTTGTAAGTTTACCTACCTTACAGTTGATTTTTTTTGTTCTTTATTAATTTTTTTTAAGATGTAGGTTCTGAGTAGTATTAATAGCTAACAGAATGTTAAGGTCTTACGGTGTATAGATTAAAAAAGAATCTATATTTAAAGATAAATTGAATAAAAGGTGGTTCAATTGTGGAATAACAAGCTTTTCATTATTTGTGGAATTCATATCCTGAAAGAATTTGGTTTAGGCTAGAGTCCTGTTCTGGTCATATGTCGAAAACTGAAGTTGAACTCCTTTAGAAAATCTAGGTATTTGAAAATCTGACAGCAAATACCACGTGAAGACTTCTTCCATAACGACTCTGACCATGCATCAAATCAGTAGTGAAAAGGTAACAGTTATTTTACTGGGAAATGGGAAAAACAAACAAGCTACATTGGGCATATCAAGGGATCATTCATGGCTGAGTTGGCATTGCCAGAACATAATAGGGAAACTGTGCAACCACATAAGCACAGATATGTCATGTGAATTGGGAGTAAATCACACTTTGGCTACTGCTTGCATTCCATAGAACTCCTCCTATGACATTATGGTAGTGAAGAGCAGAATATAGAAAAAGGTACTGTGAAATACCCCCAAAATCTGAAACCACAGTGTGAATTGCATAGATAAGCTTACACTCTTACCCTTAAGTGGACCTTTTTACTTTTGCTCATACCTATTAAAAAAAAAAGTGAGTTGAGTGAGCCAGTACATCCCTGGCATACATTTAAGCCCTCAAGAAGAGGTAGAATAAACAATAATATTTTAAAGGGCAGTTTGTTCTTCCTTCTGCAAGCTCCTTCCTACTATAGGAAAGTGATAGAAGTTCTTACTGAACCATGATATGACAAATGGGCTCCAAACTTCTCATGCCATAAGATAAAAACCTAGCCAAATAAAAGTGCAGTTCTCATCCTGTTTTGGAAGAGCAACCTATTATTTACATGCAGTCTGAACTGTGGTTGTTTTCTTTAAGAGCAGTATTTTATCCTTAGAAAAGGAAAAGGTGACATCTCCAGTTGATCTGCCTCTAGTGGTAGCAGCATTCTGCTGGAGAGGGCAGGCAGAAGGAGCTTTGTGGCTAATGAGACATTCAGTGAAAGGACATAAGCTAGAAACAGTTTTTCTTATATGCAACAAATCAGTTGCTGGTTTAGGTTCATGTCAAATAGAGCAATCATAGTCCAAGAGTAGGACTAAGTGTGTAGCATAGAGATAAAATTAAGTCCTTGATAGCACAAATGATATTTTGGGAGGGTAAAGATCTGCTGCTTTGTTTTTGAAGAAGAAAGGAGAGGGAATAACACTCAGACAAGGGATGGAGAATAAATATAAACATTGTATCTGTCAGACTTGCTTAAATCATGGTGTTTTGAGATTTACTTACTCTTTTTCCCATTATTGCAATATTGTAGTGAAAGAAGATCTTCTTAATATTTGTAATTATCCAGTAATAGGAATATAATATAAACAAGTTTTTTATCTTTTTGTTGAAATGGATCAGAAACTACATTGATATCACCTGGAGGTTTTTGATGATTCTTGCAGGCTTCCTGGTCCTATTCCAAGTACATAGAAGCCTTGGAGCAGGAAAGAATACTTATTAAAAAGCAAGAAGATGTGGAGAAAACCTCATCATCATTCCCTGCAGGTTGTTAACCAAGCTCTGTAGTTTAGCAGGACAAGTTTAGAGCTTAGGTGAAATTCTTGCAGTACAAGGAGTTTGTTTGCTCTTCTTCTGAGTTGTGCACAGAGACCTCTGCCTCTCTTTTGCTGTCTGTAGGGGAGTTGCTCTCTGTGCTGTACTGACGAGTGGTGTAATTTCCTAAAGGGAAAAAGTAAAAGTGGCACGGTATCTCTGCACTGCCTTTACAGCACAGGTCCCACTGCAGAGAGGAATAAAGCAATTTCTTCATTCTACAGTGACATGGCAATCACATACACATTTCACCTCCTTGGCTTCTTGTGCTTCATCAGCTTACATTTAAGCAGATACTGAAACATCTTCCTCACAGTCTGTCAGTATATTTTTGGAGGATGTGGGAGGCATTGCTTCATCCTTGTTTCAGCTGTGAATATCCTTGTAAGTCTTTGCCAAGGATATTATGACCTGTTTGTTTATTTATTAAAAATATCCATTTAGTAGTAGGGCTGGCAATAGCACTATGTAATATTCAGTTCCTTCAGTTTCACATAATTTTAATTTTTTTCCATATGCAGGTTCCTTGTTTATGTCCTCCCTGAAGCCTGAAAGTTCTGTAAAAGCCACCATTCCTACAAAGCCTAAATTCTGAATCTTCCGAAGAAGCAGGAAGTGAGTAGCAGACTGACAACAAGTGTGCTTTGAAATGTGAATTCTTAAAAGCTAGCTGGTGCTGATGCTCATTAATAGTAAGTTATCCTGCTCCAAATCATGTTTAACTGAAGTTGTACAGCCTCCATATGAAAACAAGCTTATTTTTCACGTCAGCCATGGTTAGCGGATCTAATGTTGACCAGATGGAATTTTGTTGCAAAATGGCAGTCTCTCAAATTAGGTTATCTAAGCTTTCCAGTTAAGATATTTTAAATAGGAACATGAGATGACTGGAAAAATCTCAGACCCTATGAAGTTACTGTCAAGAACCTGACACAGAACTAGCAATAGATCACCTCTGCCAAAGCCAATTAAATATTAGACTGAGAGAAAGATGTGGGACAGAAAAAAGAAAAAAAAGAAAAAAAAAAAAAAAGAAAAAAAATAGATAAGGACAGAAAACTAGATTTTGCTTCAAAACTTAAATTCCTGGAAGGAAGAATCCTCAAGAGGTTTGGGATTTTTGAGATTTTTGTATTTTTAACCCTATGTTGAAATTAGGTGGACTTAAAAAAATTAATAGGACTTGGAATATTGCTACCTTCTTTTCTGCTCCTCCTTCTTCTTCTAATTCTGTACTTAGCACTGCTCTTTTAGGTAACTTGGTGTCCTGCCCTCACTAGTTCTCCTAAAATATCAAGTGTCTGAACATAATCTTCCTGTGGCAGCATTTTCTGAAAATTATTTCAGAGAAAACTGCAGCATTCCTTGGTCTTCCTTCCCAGTCTCTTTCTGCCCTCTTACCATGTTCTACAGTTGCAGTTAAAGTAATCCAGGAACTTGGGGCCTCATGGGCCTCACGGGTGTGACTGTATTCCACACACCTTTGTCTTCTGTACCACTGCTCCCCGTGGAGTCCTGGCGCAGGGCCTCTGCTCCTGCTCTGTGGCTGAGAAAGCTCCAGCTGGGCCCAGTGACCACAGGGACCACAAGGCACCTTCACCCCTTGCTGCAGCCCAGCCCAGCCCAGCCCAGCCAGCTCTGGCCTGCCCTGGCTATTCCAGACCGGAGAACTGCACTCCTGCCAGGTACCAGGCTAACACAATGAGAAAGTTGAGGTCTCATGTGATTTGAGAGGTCTCTCCCACCAGCTTCAGTTGCAGTCCACTCTCCAATGCCACTGGAAATTTGCCTGCCACTATCCTATAGTGACAGATCTGACCACTCTGCTGGTAGGGTCAGACACAAGAGCATGAATGCTCTTGATGGGGCATCTTCCCTCCACTTTGTAACAGAGCAGGTCACACCTGGTCTGTTTGGGATAAATGGAAAAGCTGGCAGCAGGAGGCCTGTGAGAAAGGCCAGGGTTGCCATGTGCTGGGAACAGCCAGTCCCAGTTGCCTCCAATGGACCCATCACAAGACATGGCTGATCCCTCAGCCAAGACAGTGGCACCTTGGGGTAACACATTTCAGAAAGACCAAAGAAAGACAGAGAGTGAAGGAAAAAATAAAAGGAGTGGTAAACAACAGAGGGAACACCAAGGGCAGAGGAGGAGGTGTAAGAGGAAGAGGTTAAAGAGGAAGTTGAGGAGGAGGAGGTGCACTGTGGTGGAGCAGATATTCCCTACAGCCTGTGGAGGATTGATGCTGCAGCAGAGGAAAATAGTGAGAAGGAAGAAGGGGCTTCCCAGTGCCTCACCAAAGGGACAGAGTGCAACCAGCAGTGCTAATGAGGGGAGGAGAGGTGCTTGGAGTGAACTTGAACCTGGGAAACATGGAGGAAAAGTGTTTTCTCTAAATGTGTAGATGTTCTTATTTTCTTTCCCTGTCTCCCCCACAACCTGAATCAGTAATGATTTATTCTAATTTGCAATAAATTGATTTCCCCAGTTTTAGCTGATGCATTTGTTGAAGAACTGTTCTGATTATTCCAACTGGCTGAACACTGTAATGACATTTTGTTACCTTTTCAGGCACATTAAAATCTCTCTGAGGAATGGAATGCAGAGATATTCAATGGAGATGGCCAGGAGACATAAATTTAATGTGCATGCAAGATTTGTTCTTACAATTCTAGAGCAAAGATGATGACTTGGAATATTATTAAGAACCATGGGATCAAGGGTCGAAAATAAACATTTTCCAATGTGTTCCATTCCAGCCTTATTGTGACACTGGCTCTTGTATAAATAATTTAATAATACACCTTGAGGCTCAGATCACAGTAGGATTCCACTGAGGTATGGATGGCACAAACTCTTAGGTTGTCTCCATCTTAAACATCTTATAATCAAACCCAGTTCTTCAGTGCCTGATCTAATGAGTAAGTAAAGCACTGCCTTGAACTGAAAACCCTGAAGCAGGGTGTTCTGACACACTGTGCTCTCACTGTGCAATTCATACAACTTCTGTTCATCGAGGATAACTCATGAGGTCTCTGAGTTATTATAAATCCAAATGCTCTTGTTTCCTCCCAGTTCAGTCTGATTCCTGTCCCAAAGTTCACCTTCTGTCTCTTTCTGAGTTTTGATCCACAAGAAAGGCTTAAAAGCTATCAGGACAGAGATGAGATTGGGACCTTATACACAATATCGTTAGTCCCAAGGCATTACTCAACAGAAGGTTGCAGGAGCTCATAGCTGTTGTGTAGCTCTCCCTGCTTCTAAAAATTTTTAAAAACACTTGGGGCACAGTTGATGTTGGGGACTAAGGACCAAGGATTAATTGAGAAATTAAGAGGGGGTAGAGGAAGAATTAACTACCAGACAAGAGACAGGATGATACTAGACCTCTCCACATTCTTCAGACCTCTTTAAAAACCAGTCCCCAGCCACAAAGCTGTTGGCTCCATTCTTCCCCACATGTGTGTAATGCATGTAAAAGAAAGGATGATCAGCAAGCTCCAGTGAGCTCAGTTCCTGAGGATTAGCCCTGAGTTAGGGGGTCTCTGCTGGAGACAGGCTGGCAGGGAAGAAATACACTTTTCTTTTATGGATACACTTTTGTTTTATGCCCTGATCATATATTCTCACAGAAGGAAAAGGGAGATTATTGGTTCAATTCCTGCTTCTTCATGGTTCAGAGTTTGCTTCATGCTTGTCTGCACTCATTCTGTGTTTGAGTTACCTGAAAAATATGTTTTTGGTGGAAGCTACAAGGGAGTAAAACACAAAATACGTTTTCCTAAATGTCACAAATGCAGTCAACTTTAATGTTCAATATATCTGAGGAGGTTGGAATGCAGCATCTTGTAGTGAGCAAAGCACATGTGGTACTGTGTGGCGTACCACTCATTAATGTGAAAGGCAGAGAAGAATCATGAAGTGCCATAAATGCAGTGATGTATGTCACCCGAAAAAGCACATGGAAGGCCATCTTCTACTGCTGTGGTCAGTACAGTGCACGCAACCAAATGCTGGAGCATGGCAGGCTGTTTATGTGTTGCTGAATTCTTCCCTTCATGGAATTTTGAGACAGTTAAGTAATGTGTAGGCATTGCTTATCTTATACTTGTGTTTCTGACATGATTAACACCTGGATTACTTAAAAAAAAAAAAAAGTATTTTCCAGATATTTGTTACGAATTATAAAACTCCTTGTGAATGTTTCAGCCTTGCCAAATAGTTAACACAAATTTACCAGCAAATTTATGTCATGCAAAAAACCACTCGCCCAGACAGCTGTGATCATTAATATCATACATGTTAATGAAACTTAAAAAGAAGTATTAATTAGTGAATAGAATTTTTCAAACTTGCCCTATTCACTCAAAATGCTGCAAACTGAAGTTTACTGTCAATCTAGTTTGCTGTTCTGTCTCCAGGGTAGCTGAAACATAAGGGTGCATGTAGACACACATGCACTGTTTTATTGCCATGGCCATGTCTTCAGTACACAACTGAGAAGGATCACATGTGTCAGTAATGCTAGTACTACATGTCATATCATTATTTTCATCTTATGTGTCAATTTTAAAGAAATACTGGGCAATTGAACAGAGAATACATTAAGAGACAGGGACTGGATTTCTAGGTTACCGGATCTAATCTAATGCAATGGCAAATACCCTAGAATTGCTATTTGGTGATACACCAGAAATGGAATACTGGTTTAAGTCTCATCCCAAGGAACCAGTTCCAGCAGGGAGTCTGAGAACTGACTAAGTATTATTAGTGATTCTATATCACTTCAGAACACTTCTACTGCTATTGTCTTTTTGTCTCGCTCTTGAGATCTATTCTCTCTCATGTTCTAAAGAGCTAGAAAAGTTTTTTTCTCAACAACCTTAGCACCTCTGCCTTCAGACAATTAAAATTTACTCCTTGTTTATTTTAAGTACTTATGCTTTGTAACACTCAGAAGTCTCTGCAGCAGAACAACAGTTCTCTGGGAAGTTTGCTGTTACAGACAGTAAAACCAATTCTCTTTTTCAGAAACTTGCAAACCTAGAAAGCTTCTGGATAGATGTATGTTCTATTGGTGTTAAAATGCACAATGTAATCATACTCATTCAGACTTACTTTTGATGTTTACTTCCAATTAATGGACTGTAATAGTAGAATGATTAATTTGGATTTTTAAAGATGTAATTTAAATTCATAAATATTTACATTAAGATGCTATTACGATGTATTTCACTTTTTTCTCATCAGACCTGACGTTTATTAAAGCAAGTTGTAATTTTTGAGAGTGCAGTCCTGAAATTGCTCACTCAAATACTTTTACTGTCAACACAAGCTGTGATTCTGTGCTTCAGAAGGGGCTTATACATTTTGCTTTGACTTCTCTTCTGTTGCTGCATGACACAAAATAGACCATGAGATGAATTCCTGAAACTACATAGTGCTGCATTATGTTACTAGGATGCACACTTCTGTCAGTTTACAAGAGTGATAGTAGCCATGACCGGGCCATATAGAAGGGGCAAAATGCTTTTTCCTTTGAGTCTGTGCAATGCTGCTCTGCCATTGCCTCTGTAATCATCACGATCCCTTTTTAATGGCTATTTCTTAAAGTCCTGTTAATGGGGAACTGTCTTAGACCATGAACTGTGGGTTCACTTGACTCCTTCAAGGTGTGAAAATCTGGTTCTTAGTCGTCAGATATTAAGATCAGCAATGGGAAGAGGTGTTTTAGCAGATACAGTAGTGGTGGAGCAGACCCAGTTTCTCTTACTATACAGTATGGGGTGGCCAAGGTCAGACTGATTTGTGCCACACCTTCATAATTTACATGAGAAGAATCCTGTGATTCACGTTGCAAACATGTTTGACTTAAAGAAAAAAAGAGAGACCTGCAGTAATGAAATCTACAGATAAAAGCATCAATGAACTGGATATTTCCATTGATTTGGGACCCTCAGTTTCCTGCTGTTGAGAACACTGAAGAATCGCAGGTTCATTGCTTCTTCTGTGCCTTTAGCCCAAAACAGTGTTACAGGTACATTTTCCATGCTCTGCCTCTTGTATGCTTGTGAAATGGCCAGCCCCAGTCCCAACCAACACCATTGCTCTAGTCAAAAATGTTGACTTTAGCGTGTGTGTAAAAAGGACTGAAGAAAGAACAGATGTTTCAAAGTTCTGTTCCAAACTTGGAAAAGAAAACCCTTCTATTATTTATGTTTTTATTGTTAAATGCTGGGTCAAACTGATCACTGTGAAGCTCTATGTGATCAGTGGAGCTGCCATAATCTGTCTTAAATTTGACCTATTTAAACTGTCCCATTACAGTTAACTGGTGATTTCTGTCACTACCTTTTTATAGAAATGTTTTTAGTCAGCCATTGTGAATCATATCTGAATACAGCTAAGATGGGGTTAACTGGTATTTTTTTAAGCTTATGGAACATTGTTGGTTTTAATACATTTAGTAGTTGCTGTAAAAGTGTTAGGGAAAGACAGGTTTGAACAAAAATTTTAGATCTGCACTCACAGTTCAAATCCACCTAATTTTAAGCACTCCCAGAATTTCATAGAGTTATAATTCACATCTGTGTTTCTAAGTCCTTCATGCATGATTGTTTGAATGTGCACTTTTGGAACAAACCCATGTCTAATAGGCTAAATTGTAGTTCCCAAATCAGAAGCCACATGGTACTGCTACATAGTTTTCTTTTATTTTCTCCTCTTATCATGTAGCCTTCAAAAAAGGTTCTGTCAGTCCAGCAAATGGTATTATTACAAAACACCAAGGTCTACACTTTCTACATACCTACTATTGAATTGACATTTTTATTTCTACCAATGTAAAGCATCTGCACAATGACCACAGTGGACAGTCCTCTGTCAAGCAATTATTTATCAGAGCACTGGAGCAGATTCGCATTATGCAGGACTCAGCTGTCCTAGTATGGTGAAGGTACTTAAGGTAGAGATGAGATTCTCTTATTTTTAATACTCATAGACTCAAGCTAATTTTTATGTCAAACACAGGCTGTATTTACTTGGATTTTCCTCTATTTCTCTACTAATTAAAATATTTTAGTTTCATGGTAACATATGTGAAAGTGTTGACAACAGCTTTGCTTATTCCACATGTTAATTATATATTTGCTTAGAGTATGCTGATGAACTGTGTGCATTTCTCACGTTAAGATTTCATTTCATGTCAAAGGAAAAATGGGAATGTAGTAAGTGGATTTGTGCTTTTAATTTTAGATATTTCTTTTTGCTCTCAAACAAACTTGTACGATTCCTCTGTACCACATGCTTTTGAAAATCTTTTGTTGGCAAGAAGTTCAAGAAGAAAGTAATACTTGCTTCTCAGAATAGGATTTCTGAACAAAGCAAAGCAATTTTGCCGTTAATGAAACAGTTAAATGAAACAACTGACATGGCAAGCACGAAAAAGACCACAGCATCACACTCAAGGAATGCACAGGCACACAATAGCTTATGCAATATTCCCCATCTGACAAAGTCAGTAAATACAGAGATTTCCCTGGAATTATTCACTACAATAGGCCATGGTGACTATAGCTCAGTAAATGCAATCAACAAGCTTATAGCATTTTAGTAGTCTTCATCCATAGACAACTCAATGGATTTCATCCCAGCTGTAAGACCCAAACCAGCACTGGGTTTGTAAACCCCAGACTCTGATTTGCTTGGGTACCACTCATCATTCCTGAAAACGGTACTTTGGGAACTGAATTGATCACA